CACCCATCGTCCTAGCCTTATCTGCCACACTTTTCGCCGAGATGAACCCCCCGTGGGCGTTGTCTGCGCCGCGCGTCTGGCCCGCACACAGTAAGTACGTCCGGTACGCTTCTCCTGCGCGCCGCAGACGTACAACTGACTTCATGGGTGCGTCCCATCCAGGCTTGCTGGGAGCCCGGGCTGGGACGTTGCCGGGCGCGTATGATGCACGCGCAGGCCTTCTCAGCTCTCTGCAGGCAGTCCAGACAAGTGGATACATACATACAGCTGCCGCCGCGCGGGTTAAAAATCGGACGCGGGCGTGTCTGAGGCGGACGGACGTCGCGAAGGCTGCCATGGACCGCGCCGGGCGGGCCGCCCGCCCTGCGCCCCCATTGGCCGCCTCGAGCGTATCCTCCCAGGCGAGATCAGTGCGCTAGGCAGTAGCCAGCCCGCACAGGGCCGCCTGCACGCCAAACGCATCGCAACAAGTGCCCCAGATGCATCTTCACGCTCGCCTATTTTCGCCGTCCCGCGTCCCACGTCTTTTCCCGCCGCCTAGTTCGCGCGGAACAACTAGGAGCTGAGACGTGCGGGCGTGCTGATGGCAGATGTGCTGCGGCAGGCCTGGGGTGGCGGCGGGGCTCAACCTTCAGCCCTTCTCGAAGGCCGGAGGCAATCAGTCGAGCTAATCAGCTGCGAACTTCGAACCCGCTGGGGAAACAGGGCTGGCGAGGCTGCCGCGAGCCAGTGACGTCGAGCGAAGACTCGGTCGGTATCCCAGTCTCTAGACTGTGAGACTGTGAGTGCTTTGCCTGCCTCCTGCCGCGGGCTGTGTTGACGTTAACGTTGCCCGCTGCCTGTTCGCATTCCCAAGCCCCCCTTGCATCTCAGAGGCTAATGACTCAAATTTGCGAAGAGGAAGGAAAGCAGCGGCCCACGGCGGGGCTGGAGCCTCCTCTAGGCTCCCCTCCTCACGCCCGTCGTCTTCCTGCACTCTCTGCTTCTGCATACAGCCCGCGCGGCGTGAGAGATGACATGTACTAGCGGTCGTATGTGCGTACGAATGTGGACAGAGTCCGCCTGCCCGCGCCACGCGCTCACGCAACTAAAGATGTCCCGCAGAACTGGCCTGCGAACGTCCTCACATCGCGCAGCACGCTCGCGCCATCACAGATGGACAGTCCCCGCAGAACCGGCCTACGAACGTCCCAACACGCACCCAGCCTGATGCCGTCACGCTGAATCATGGTATCAATCCATGCTGTGTTGCGCGACGTGCAGCTGTCACAGCCTGCAACCGTCTGCTGGGATCTCAGGAGCGCAGATTGGCCTGCGCGCGAAGCCGTTGGTCGGAGACGCACACACGCATCAGCCACTGGCGGATGGAAGAACACAGATGCGGGGTCACGCTGGCCGCGGGGTCCGACAAAGAACCGTCAAGGCGGGGGGAACGGCCGGGGAGGCCAATAGTCGCTGATTTGGCGGCGAGGAGGTGGGGGGGGGGCTTTGATGCCCGACTGCTCCGACACGCCAGAATGCATGCATGAGTGAGCATCTCCGGATGTCGAGTGTCGTCCCGCCGTGGCTGGGGCCTGAAGGGCGCGAGCCGGAAGTTTGCGCCTCTTGGCGGTCCGAAGCGTGCTTCGTGCACGGAGACATCCGCACGCACGGCGAGGGTTCGGGCTCAGGACAGAGATCGACAGACCGGACGTGGCGGCGGCCGTCGGGGAGTGCTTGTGGCGCGAAGATGCGGAGAACATGTCAGGGCCGTCTCGCTGTGAGACAACCTGGGTGGCTTGACTGGCGCCTCGGACATGACGCTTGGTTTCGCATGGACGTGTCGGAGTGGATTCGAGGCGGATCAGGCAGTGCCCTGTGGGCATAGAAGACGGCTGTGGCAGGAGAATTGCCAGGGTTACGGACGGCAGGAACAGGACAGGCAGAACACAGTAGCGGACTGTTAGTGTGTTTATCCAGCTGTATCGAGGCAAGCGTTTCGTCACAACCTAATAGAACGCGAGGCTAAGCACGCCCTTGCGCTTCATGTGAGAATCGGCTTTTGGCACCTCAGCCGATTCGTTCGCTCATGAGCCTAGCAAAGATGTTTGAACAGGTTGGAAATTGGATTGCTGGAAAACATTGGGTTTCGCAATCCATTTCTTGTCGATGAGTCAGGACGATTTGACCCCTATGTATTATAACCCAGTCGTGTCGATGACCCACCGTGTGTTCCAAGCGGACCTGAACTGTAATCAACTGGTATCCACGATTGCTAGGTGAAATTTGATGTCCGACAGGGTATGCTTGTTCGTTGCACAGACCAGAGTGCTTCTTTGTAAGGATAGTAGTGGTCATACTGTAGAGATCATGTCAAACGTGACTGAAGCACAGTCGTGTGCGACCACATACGCGTTAGAGCCTGCGGCTGAACCATCAATCCATCTGGCAAGATTTGATAGCGTTCGCCTCCTATTCGGTGGTCGCCTCCTTGCGCGGATATACTGAGTACCTACCTCCATGGCGCGGGGTAGGGGCAGGAGATAACCAATACTCGCGGCGATGAAACATAAGTGATATCCGCTGTAGGGACTATATTGAGCATCCTATCGGTTGACTCTATCTTTCTGACAGGAGATATTGTACATACGTTGTCTACGGGTATAAAGTACCACATTGGGCCGGGGACTCAAACAAGCCTGAGAAGAATTCGATACTTTGGGTCCTACCGTCGCCGCCCTATGTCTTCCCAAGTCCATAGGGAAAAAATGATACGAATATCTTTCTGCGTATTTTGATTGCCTCTGCCGCCTAGAATGCGGCGTATGTTCAACCCTACTGACCAATGTCTGAAAACTGAATTTCCACTGCGCCTCATACGCTGAACAGTGTCGGCGACCCCACAGGCCCTGGAGGTTCACATATACCAGATTCACCGGCCTACCGTCGATGAAGCTCTGGGATACCAACCTCCCGATTAGGACAGATTACTTGCGTACACCGGCCTGAAGCAATCAGACTCGGCCAATGCGATACATCGAAAAGACCTCGCATGTCGACACGATGACGTACAATAAGAAAGGCGTCCGAATGATGGGGGTTATGAGCATCAGGTCGGAAGTGTGAAGTCGCCGCCGCCGGCTTTGTTGGGAGTTGATCCGTTATTGTAATCGACCGGGAGATCCGTGTTAAACTCATTTAACGAAAGACGGTCAGGCTTCATCGCGGATGCGAGGATACTGGGTGGAAAGCAGGAGCAATGATTGTACGACCTGGGCACATTCAACATTTCATGCGCGCAGAGACACATTCATGGTTCGTCATTTCGAGTCGGCTGTACTTTTTATCGCGTCCAAATTTCTGTTTGCACCGTAAAAAGGAGTGTCCGTCGGCTGTCAGAGAGGTTGCGCGAAGATTTCCGTCTGGATCGGATCTACATCCAACATTCGGGACAATCAGCATTGAAAATGGGAAAAATGAGACGAACATAGAGAAAACATTATTACGCATTCAAAGATGATCGGGGAGCGGAGTGTGCTTGTTCGATCAGGTGGGCTCTTGCGACACTTAGCTTTTGTTGCTGGTGTCCTTTCAGTCATTGGCCAAAAAAGGATAGTCCCGTGGACAGGAGTGGGATCCTTGCAAGCACATTTTCGGTTCGGGTACGGATTGTGAGGGAATATTATCAGCAGGCTTCAGTAACAAGTTGACCACATTTATCTTAGATCTAGTCATCTCGTTCCTAGCCATTAATCTGGGCATATTCATCTATCGGCAGTGCAGCTTTGCTGCACACGACTGCCCGCGAATGACTAGATGGATGAGTTGCACACCAGCCTGGTCCAACGAATCTTCCGGATCACGAACCGCACAAGTCTTGCTAGAGTGTTTGATGACCATCACCTTCCGTAAACGGAGGAAGCCATTACCGTGCCTTGTATCAGATCTGATTCGCAGCTGGCTGCGACGAGGCAGCCCGCGGTCTTGACACGTTATCACGTCTTTTGGTTAATCAGAACCCGGAGCGTCCTGGAGACGAACGCAGCGATTGTAGCGACCATCTTCATCCCCTGGCAGCGCGCAGATTAATTAGCACAATAGTTGTAATGGAGATACTAAAGACAGCAGCAAGAGAATGATGACGTTGCGGATATACCGGGAATGGAGCCGGAGTGAGGTGTCCGTGGCGCAGAGAGCCGAGGAAAATCGATTGAAACGCATGGTGCATTGGGTCCAGAGCTCAATGCCAAGATCTAGCTGTCTAGAGTTACTAGTTGGGATCATTACACCAGAAAATATCTTACATCTTTGGCCAGGAGCAAGATTTATGCGTAGATCTAGCAGAAGATTTCAACGAGTGCTTTGCACGCCTCTCAATAGCATTCCAGAAATTGAAGATACTGACCGACGACTGTCTTCGTGCGGCACATCTTTCCCCCGCAGGAGGGATCCAGTCTTCAGCCACAGCATTCCTGGATGGGATCAATAGGGCTAGTGCGCGGCGCAACAAAAAAAACTCGGACAAAAACACATGATACTGGCATAATCTGACGGGCACCTCCGGCGACCTCAGAAGCCGGTCCATTCTTCAAAATTTGGGGGAATCTACATACTAGCGATTAAGCGCCTAGAGTGACAGCGGAGGAGTGAAAGTATCAGCATCCAACTCAGTATATATGTTTGAATATTTAGAACCTCCGAAAACAATCAATGAGCTTTGTGCAGGAAAATGGAGAAGTCGGGTCGATTCGGCTCACCTGCTCATTGTTCGGGGAACATCAACAACGCGAAATTCGTTCGTATGCCGTCACGGTTAAGTCATGTTTAGCCCGAATAAGAACCAAATTCTTAATATATGGATGCTGGATTTCTTCATGATATAAGACATCTTGATGCGTGCCTTGGAGTTCGAAGATAAAACATTAACATTCAGCTGTTCAGCAGTGGACCTAGAAAGAGCTGTAAAACAACGTGAGGATCGGGATGACAACTTGAACGGGCGTCTCTGTCTCTCGCCACGTATGGCTTCCACCACCACTCGTCCCCGTACCGGACTCGAGAAGTCAACCCAACCGGAGACTGAACTCCTCCTCTCGAAGGCACTATCGTCGTTCTCTTCGCTGGTTATCTTACAGTTCGTCTCGCGCATCTTCACCTTCGTACTGAATCAAGCCCTCGTTCGTCTCGTATCGCCACAAGTCTTTGGCACAGCGGCCATTCAGTTCGAGCTGCTCCTTTCCACCATCCTATTTCTCTCTCGTGAAGGCGTCCGAAATGCACTCCTTCGCTCATCGAGAACGTCTCCCGAGAAATCTCGGGATGACGGCGAGCGTAATGGTCTTGCCAACATATCCACCCTGCCTATTATATTTGGTGTACCTGCTGCTGCTCTAATCACTATTATCTATGTCAAAAATGCTTCATCAACTACGACATCCCAGTCTTATTTCTACTCGGGCGCGGTTGTCTATGCTCTGGCAGCGTGCATCGAGTTATTGTCCGAGCCTCTGTATGTCCGTGCCCAAAATGATTTACGCATCGACCTTCGAGTAAAGGCTGAAGGATGTGCGGTCGTGATGAGAACGATTGTTACTTTCCTTTCTTTAGTAGCGGGGTCTGCAGATTACGCGCTCATGGCTTTCGCACTGGGGCAAGCCGCGTATGGGGTAACCGTCTTCGCAATCTATCTGTACGCATATCAAGGCAGCCTTTATCTCTGGCCGCAGAGGTTCACCACGCTGGTGCATGGCAAGTGTGTTTTCAAATAATACATTTCCTTCGGGTGATTGATGTATGTACAGCAAAACCTCGAAATACTTTGATTCTGCGTTATTGAATCTCTCCATTGCAATGACGGCCCAATCCTTCATCAAGCATTTCCTCACCGAAGGCGACAAATTCCTGCTCTCGCGCTTTAGTCCACTAGCTGATCAGGGTGGATATGCCGTTGCCTCTAACTATGGTACGTGAAAAGGCCCACAGCGATTTATCACATTTACAATAGGCCTCTAGGCTCTATGGTAGCTCGAATTGTGTTCCAACCCATCGAAGAGACGTCGCGTGTATTCTTTTCAAAGACGCTTTCCAAGCAATCAAACATCGAGGGCCTTCGAGCAGCATCCAGCATGCTTCTTTCGCTGTTGCTTCTCTTCACGCACATACTGCTGGTTCTTGTCGCGTTTGGGCCCCCCTACCTCGCGATTGCCATTGTCATACTTCTCCCATCAAAATATCACCATACTTCAGCGCCAACCATTCTGCGCACCTACGTCTACTACATCCCAATGATGGCATTTAATGGCGTCCTTGAGGCTTTCTTTGCCTCTACTGCCTCGTCCACGGATCTCCGAACACAGAGCAGATGGTTGTTCATGTTCTCTGTCGGATTTATTGGTGCTGCTGTGGGCCTGGTGAAGGGCCTCGACTTCGGTGATGCTGGGCTAATCTGGGCGAATGTCGCGAATTTGTTCTGCAGGGCACTCTATGCTTGGGTATTCGCGCTACGATACTTCCGCGAGAAGGGAAGCCCTGAGCTCATCAGCTGGAGACAAGTCGTGCCTCCCCCTTCCGTTCTCTTAGTCTTTGGAGTCTCGTCAATCGCGATGCGATGGAGCGAGGCAAAATATTTGGTTTCCTCCCGAGATGTCACAGCACATCTAGAGCATATCGGTTTGGGCGTAGGCTGCCTCGCAGCGTGTTTGATTGCTTGGTAAGGAATTTGTTGTCTAGTGCATGGTGTGCACTGACTTGCCATTGTCAATTAGTGCTGTCTTTGAGCGAGAAGTGCTCTTGCAAACATTCAAGTTAATCCGCCGTAGATAGTATATTCATTGGGTTGTATCAAGAAATAATAATCGGTTGCCGTATGACGCCGTCCTCATGTTTTCATGACACCTAATATTTGCCATAAATGTTTTCTAAGGTGCAAGTACGTCATCGGTTGCACCGTGCTGCTCCACATCGGATATAGGAAGTGTGACGTCGATGCGTGTACGAGGACGTGATCCAGCCAACCTTTTCTCTCTGCGGTATTCTTCACATTCGTACTATCGTTCTACCAGTCTCGCGCCGTCACCATGTCTGCTGCTTCTAATGGAAATATCGATCAGATGCTTGACACCGTATGTTGAAAGAAGCTGCCCAAGTATACCCCAGGGCGGTCGTGGGCACTCATTTAATAACAACATCTTATAGGATTCAAAGCCCATAAATACAAATGCGCATGAAAGTATGCCGGTATCGTCCTCGAGTGAACAAGATGATCTAGCCGGGATGGATTCGAGTACGCAGAGTCGGTTTCCTGATCTGGCTTGGATTGGTGTCGGGGTTGTGCTGATGCATTACGTAGCGTCTCCTTCAGCGGATGCTCCTCAAGCAGGTGGTGCTCAAGTGGTCGTAGGACAATCGCCACCGAAGCCATCTTTCAAAGAGGAGGTTGTAGGCAAGTTGTTATTACATTAGCTGCATCGATTAGCCTAACCGATGTATCCTACTAGGGCATGCTAAAGTAAGCCCTGAATACTTCCGTTCTTTTCAGTGATATTTGCTAAGCATCGTCTAATTGCATAGCGAATCCGTGGATCTGTGCGTACACTGCCGTTCACGAGTCCCGTACCAGCCTGACGCCTGTCCTTTTTAGGTGTTTGGCAAAGTAGGTCTCTGACTTGAATGTGCCGGTTCTTACACAGCTTGCTCACGGTACTTCAAGCGCGATACCAAAGAGTACGGGGAGAAGATTTTGCGAGGTGAAGCCACATATCCTCCGAATCAGCCGGAGAGGAAGACTTCAGCATGATAGCTTCGGCTCCCTTTACTGTGAAGTTGTGAGCTGTGACTCGTCCTCAGTGTATTCGTATATTCGTATATCTGGTCTATAATCCATAATCGCAACAGTTAGCAGTGTGCCGAGAATTGTGCGGAGAGTGACTGTATGCACACTGTGGGACCATGAATATTTGCAAACCCGGAGTAATAGCCGCGTGGCTGGCTGACGTTCACTGAGTCAAAACTTCCTCTCAATCTTCATGATCATCAAAGGCCTCTCGGCTCTACAGATTTTGTACATCTAGCACTATCTTCTAGTCTTAAGTAATTGGTTTACCCCCCGAAAACCTTCTCACTCCAAAGTAGAAGCTAGGATCCCTTACCTGCATTTCAGTATACTCCGCTGGTACCCCTGACCAGCTCAATCCACACCCCGCCCCCAACATGACAATCGTTCACCCAAGCTCAGAAATACGCTTTAGCACCACCCCCGGAGGCTTTCAAGAAAAGCAACCGGGTCGAGTGTGTTCTTCAGGTGATGCGAACCCCGTTCTCCGGACCGCGCGAGATGTTTTTGAAGTCTGTATCTTGTTTTGGAACAACTGCCAGCGTCCCGGAGCTCACCTTACCATATTCTGTCTAGAACACAAATCTAGTGCGCCTGAACGAACGGGGCATCGCAGCAGCAGCAAAATACGTGCGTTTGCTCAGTAGATTCATGGGCGCGCACATCAGATCTAGACGCGCGACTTGCAGATTTTGGACAGGATCCAGTCCGAGTCATACTCCCCACGGTCATGGCGAACGCACCCATTGCACATAGTCCCACACGAATCCCCGTCCTGGGACGATCCCGCGACGAAAAATTGCCTCGACTGGATATTCGTCATCTCGTCGCTGAATTTCAGTTTCTGGTCAGAACGGGAGGGATGCCCCGATCGTTACGGCGTGGAATGGCGAGAGGGGTGGGACTTTGGGCAGACCACAGTACATACAGGTTATTGGTCGTTGGTCGCTGCAATTGACCGTGGTGAGCCCGCTATCGTTTGTGAATATACACTCGCTCAGCTGCTCTTCAGCCCTTGACGAAAATATCCACGTCACCGATCCTGCGTTTTATTCATCCACTACGTTATGTCCAGATTCTTTATTTGAGCACATATTCCGACCGGCGGCACGATGCAGTGAAGGGATCCCTTTGCTAAGGGAGAGAATTGCCATTTTACGCGAAGTCGGGCGTATCTTGTGTAATGTGCGTAGATTTTATGGACAACGAGATCACATTCATGGAACTACTTTCATTACAGGACTTCGGTGGATCTTTTCAAGGATTCTGCTCTGAGTTTCTTAGCAGATACGAAGGTCGCGGCACTGCGCTTCAATTTGCACGGATGGTAGTGGAAACCTTCCCTCCATTTCGTGACGAAGTCATGTTTCAAAATCAAAGAGGTTGGCAATACGGCCCTTCCGAGATTATCGTCCGACTGATTCTGATGGCAGTGCATTTTTGGAAGCGTGCACAGATTTTGACTGCCGAGATCTGGGCGGCCTTCTATCCTCTTTCCCCCGCACTACCTCACCTCTTGTTTCCGCAGGGACCTGTTATCAGTCAGCTCACCATGTTTTCTGACTATCGTGTACCACAAATCTTGCACCATCTCCAGATACTAGAATATTCGCCTAGCCTCGTAAAGTCCCTGGAGGAGTATAGAAATTTACCTGTCGGAAGCAAGGAGGAAGTTGGCATTCGAGCTGCTAGCATCGTCGCCGTAGAACGCCTGAGGGAGGAAATGGTCTATCTTCAGGCTGTTGATCAAATTTTTCAAAGAAAGGTCGAGATCAGCAGCGTACTGATAGATTTTTACCTATGGGATCTTGCGAAGCGGATCGAGAAGGGTGAGGATAGTGTCACTGGCATATGCATAACAAAAATGCTGCCCGCACATAGAACCAGAGGAATCTGGTACTGATAGTCTAATAGATTGATCGCAGTACACATTGGTCACAGTAAAAAAGGAATTTCTACTATTCAAAATACAGCTGGTGGACGGCGGAACATGGTTGACGGACTGGGGAGTCGGCAAGCGCCAGGTGCACGGTCACGTGCGAACAAAACGCGGCTGTGGCACCAGCCAAGTTGGTTTGGTTCGCTTGTACACCTTCGCCGGGAGCAACAGATAACGAGGTATGTGCGTCGAGACCTGGTTGCCTGAAATTTTGTGAAGATAAACTAAGTAGAAAATCTGATCGAACCAGGTCATGGTTGATCAACCGTCTGACGATGTGACGGTGAAGCCCAGTGCACAAGACGAGCTATCGCGTCTCATCGCGCTTACCCGTCACAATAGCGAGCTTCTGAATGAATGCAGGGAGAGTTCTCAAGTTCGATATGAGGCGATGAATTCCCGAATGCAAGATCAGCAGGATCAGTTAGGAAATATCCAAGCCAGACTTACCCAGATGGTCGCAGACGAGCAGAAATACAGGGCGGCTCGTCGCCCGCTCTCGGGTATGTGGAGCTGCTGGAGACTTCGCGACGGGTTCTAACTTTGTGCGACGTTAGACGTGCCCAAGGAAGAAGTTCTACAAGTACTTTCTGGGGCCCACGCAGACTTGATGAATGCAATCGCGTCGTCTATGGAAGGTGCGTTTCGCCGTTGGAAGCTCGGGGAATCAGAGCTGAATAGACATCGACGGTGAATTGCAGAAGCTCGGCACACAACGGAGAGGTTTCATGAGGAGCTGCTGACAGCTCTCAGCGATAGGGGCCGAAATAGCTCAATTGCCCCTCCCGAGCTAGACTACATCGAGCCATCATAATCACGCACCCTCAGTCGTACTGGTAAAAAAAAAAAAGTCCGTGCTAATACGTTTGGACGACAACGAGGACGCTGCTTGTGGCCAGTCATGTTCTGCTGCCTCACAGCGCGGTCGTGCTCGAGGAGACGGATGAGCACGATCGATTGGCGTATATCGGCAATACCCATTTGGGACGCGGCCATTCGTTCATGATCATGAAAGATAGGCAACACCCTCTCCAGCCGTTGTACCTGCTCATCGATGCTCCGGCTATCCATCGATCGCGAAAAGGAGGAGCGTCGTCCACCGCTCGCCAGTCTCCAAGAGAAAGCCCACCACCGAGGATGTCAGATTACAGGCAGTCATACAAAACATGCAGATGATATGTAACAATGGTAATCTCACAAGTGTCGCCGATCCCAACGTATGTACAGGTCAAAAACGTCCAAAACGAATGGTCGTGCGCTCGCGCATCAGTTGATCCTGAGCAGCTCGACCTCAAACTTGAGCGTCGAATTCGGCGGTATCACGGGAGGGAATCCTCGCGCCCCATATGCCTGTGTGGGTGTAACTTAATCGCGGGCAAATCGATGTAATGCGATAGGAACGCACGTAGTCCGGTGTCGCCGTCAAGACAGCCTTCTCGCCCAACGATAATTGCGGCACGCCTGTAAACGTACGCGCCATGAGTCGATCATCTGTATTACGCACGTACAGAGCATACCTTCATCCCAGCCCTTGATCACCTTTCCAACTCCAATCTCGGTTTCGAATGGCTGTCCCCTGAGCAAGATGTCAGTAAGTACTCGCATCAGGGAGGACCCAAGATGGCTGACCGATCTCGACTCGAGTCAAATTTCCGACCGTCCAGGAGCGTGCCGACATAATGGATCGTGACTTTGTCTAGAGTGACGGCATCATGAGGAGGTCTGTACATAGGAGCAGTCCGGAGGAGATACGAACCGCCTTTGTTGGGGAAGGTCGCGCCGTCACCGGGCCTGATTACCTCAACTGTGACACCCTATGCGGCGGGTCGCGTTGGGGCCCGCGGGAGAGGAATGTGTAGGACTCACCATGTCGTGGTGCGGTGCGGCGGCAATGGTTGATGGACAAGGGGCAGGTGTACGAGCGAGAGCTAGGCCTTGTGGCTGCAGACTTATACTGGCACGGAGGCGGAGTACGGATCTTGATCCGATCTGGTGTCACCCGGCCCATGTCTGTCCTGCGATCTCAACCTGCCATAACCAACGCCGCGTCCTGAGAGCATGGCCAGAACATGTTATCGATGTCGATGGGAGGCGATATGTCTTTCCATATCTTCAGCCCTCTATCGTCCCCGAACTATCGATGTCCCTCTCCCGCCGCCCTTCTCCACCCACCAAAATTTAGAAGACCTATCGCAACGTCTTCACGAAGCTCCTCGTCATCTTTTTCTCGGAACAGAGTTGGCTCCCAAACACACGTATGCTTTTTCCCTCATCCGTTTGATGATCGCAATCCTCAGGTCATATGCTCGCACGAGCTGCCCAGACGCTCACCAGCGGTTGTCCAGCCAGCCGGCCCTGGCCACAGCGTTGAGTAACCGAGGATAAGGAGATAGGTCTCTCCGCGCACCGGCATGGCGCAAAACCGGGAGAGACTCACCCAGAAGCAGCTCCAAGACGCTCGGGAACTCCCAGACGCGGGGTAGCCTCCACAACTTCCACGCACTCGCTTTGGAGAGCGAAGATCCTCGCCGGACCACGTCGTGAACGTGCACACTGCTCTATGCAAACACCGTCAAGCTCCGTGTCGGCGAGGGACAAAGTCCAAGTCTATGTGAGCTGCCTCGGGTCCTAGGACTCCTGGATAAGAGGTTGTACATACAATGTCGTAACCATGCTGTAAGAGAGCGTCTCTCTAGCGCGGCCGAAGGTCAGACGGAAATGCTCGCGATAAATGAGCAGATGAGTCCTCGTCGGCCTTCTGCGTTATCCGCCATGTTCCTATCTCGCTTTCCGCTCGAGACTGCTCTTCGGCCTCGGAATATTTACGAGCAAGCATACCCCACAGCCTCTGAAGGAAAGCGTGCCCCGAGGGGACGGTTCCTTAAGTCAGAAGGGCATTTCCAGGTTAGAACGTTGAACTGCAATCACCGATCATCATCTCACAGAGATTGCGCCGGATTAGAGGATATGTCGAAGGCTAATACAGCAATGTGATCCGTCGTCGATGTTGCTGACTACGTATGCCACTCGTACACAATTGAAGTACAATGTCGTACCGGCAGGAGCTTAGGAGCGCCGGCCTCGGGGTTCAACTGCGCTGATTCGTAGGCACCAAGGACGTATTTTGCTGCATGGCACAAGCGTGGAGATAATGGTCTTCGTCCCGCGAGCAATGAAACTAATTGCAAGCGAAGTCAGCGGATCGGAGTCAAGAGCGCCTGAGAAGCAGGGATGTGCTAGAATATCCGCACTGATTGAATGGTTAATGTCCGAAGTATCTCTTGAGAAACCCTTTCATTTTCGAATTCAGCGGGCCAATAACGTTCGTCTAAATACTCACAAGCAAAATACATAGTCAGGAAAATAGACATAAAGCAAGATCAAGTTACCATAGTACAGTATCTGCGCTCGTGCGGCGGACTCGCAGAGTCGAACCCTGGCCATCTAAGGCAAGGGACACGGATCTAAACCCCCCGCTGGAGTGCTTGGCAACTCCCATGACAGCGTCACAGCTGAGGGTGAGCCGGCCAGTGGTCCCCCACTGGCCGTCGAAACTTCCCCCATCCCTGGGTCCTCCTCCGCGCACACTCATCCCGTGTAATGAGAAGGAGAGGACACAGGAAATGGTAAGCGAAAACAAAGGGGGAGAAGTGGCCGGTACAGTCAGGAAGCCCCAGGAGGGGGGGCAGGTCGCGTTCATCGGGTAAGATCGCCGAAAATGTTGTCGAAACGTCCTGTGGCCTGAATATAACACATGAGCGGTTTAGTCGCTGCCGGGTGGGACAACAGGGTGCGGATAGAGCTCGCGCTCCTCCCTATACTTCTCTGTAGCACGGCGCGCTGCGCCCGGAATCCTGGGCATTCGAGTAGGTAGTGACGAACGGTCTCCGTCAGACTTTCCATATCTTCGAGGGGCTCGTGGAGGGTAGATCCTTTGAAGCAGACACACTGTTCAAGGTAACGTGATAACTTGAAATTACCTTGCATAGTGCGCTGCAGAAGCAGAAAATACAGATCCTGTTACATATAGCGACCACTGCATGGACATGCTGCATGCGAAACTTGAACTAGAGAGCTTTCGCTTACCAACTTGGTCGGGAGTGGCCGTGACGCTCACACCAGATCTCTTTCACAATAATTGCGCGAAGACTTTCCTTGAAATCAACTTGAATCTGCAGCCAATATTGGTACCAGTGTGACTTTGGAACTGGGGGGTTTAATGGAAAGACAAAAAATATTGAAGAGGACCTCTTGTATGACCCACAGTGCAAGTTTACGTTATAGCTGCATCATTTCATTCTGTGGTGAGCATCGCCAATCCGTTTGTGATCTTGATAAAAACCAATATTGAGGCGATGTGTTTCCTCAAGACTCAAGTATACACCATAACATGGAATTGCACAGGTGATGGTGCGACATGATTGGCTCCAGAAAATATCATTTGTTTTAGTGCCAGTGCTGACAAATGTCGAGAATTCTTGATAAGAACAGAGTTTGTGCATGAGAGACATATTTTTGTGTAATATTCAAGAAAAAACAAAGAGCAGAAGTAGTAGCTCTCTATTTGGCATGAGACTGAAAAGAATACTGACAAAATGAGGGCTAGAGAAACATGTTTGCTGAGGCTGGCGAAAGTATCCTTTAGCCATGGAAATCCAGTCACATAGACAGTTTAGATAGGCTGAGCTATAAGTGACACGGAAGCTGAGGTCAACATCACAGTGGTTATGGTGGTAGTTCGGAAATAAGTCAAAGACGGGATCCCCGAGAGTGTCGGGAGAATTGCCGAGCCCTTCGGTTCGGCATCTACCGTGGCACGCGTTAACTTCGACAGACGAATTCTGTTAATGCTCGTAAAGTCTCAGCCTTACAGATCTCCTTGACTCAAGCCTCGGCAAACTTTACACATTTGGACATACGGTTGATCTCCCAGAAAAACGGCTAAATAACGTCTCACAAAGTGAGTATATGTGAGATCGTTGCATTTGCCATCTCTGCACTAAACATTCGGGCAAGTATCACATCTTTCCTCTGCCAAATTCTTACTTCGGTCGGCTTTATGGAGAGTCATCCCTCGGTGTGTGTCTATCTAATTGGGATATAGAAGGAAGCTAACGAGTCATGCAGTACCCAGCTCTCGCTTCCCTCTTACCCAAGTACCCTAAGGCTGCCGGGGCCCTGTTTCAGACGTACAATGATTTGGCTTTGGGTGAGGCTCTAAGGAACGACAGTCTACCTCACAGCTCAAAGATCGAATTTTTTCAGCGCAGCAATGGGTTGACCTACAAGTTGTCGATCTCCAATCATGTTCGAGAGGTGCCATACGGGGGCGAAGACCAAAGACGGTGAGGCCTACACCGTCAGCCATAATCTGAAATCTGAATCATTGCTAACGGCCACTCGAGGAACATTCCCTGTGTGTAGTTCCGTGCTCCCTCGCAGAATCTATCTCTATCTCGTGGTAAGCATCCCGAGCGTCATGTTGAGAACTGTTCTCCAGCGGAACTTATAGGTTACGAAACGCATTCGGAGAGCTAGGAAGTCCAGAACATATTCATCTCGCTATCAACTCTGAAGACTCATCCATCGTATACTACAAAATCAGTCGAGGGATAGTCAAGCCACCTGTCTAGCATGATCCGACCGAGGTTTGGCTTTCAGATCCTCAGATTTCCCAGTGCTAGCGCTGGCGCGACCTATATGTAGGAACGAGGGTGACAGGATGTTACTCGCACATAGTAATAGGGTCGATCCATATCGATAACAACATCCTCCGTTATCATATAGCAATGCAGATTATGATCCATCGACATTCCACTCGTGCGTCTCAATTAGCAGTACATATTTCAATGTCCTAAAAAGATCTGATCAAGACACAGTATCGCTACAGATTGTACAGACATTATCTATCGACATACTAATGTACGATTGCTCGCTGCCCACTGCGCGAAGTTTTATCTTCGCGCAGCAAGAGCACACATAAGCCTGCCAAAACAAAGATGACAATACTTGCATACACCGGCACCGAGTGATTGATTGACATTAGTGTCCCTCCTAGCATGGGAGCGATCATGCCCCCGCTAAAATCGAAGACAAAATCCAACTGTGTAAGCGAAAGGATATAAAGCAAGATTCAGTATACATACATCCGCGATAGTGCTGAGGCGATCCCACAAGCGGAACCTCGCACTGATAGAAGAATCCGTCAGCTATGCGGATCGATAGCGAATTTCGCTAGAGATACCTTTCGTGCCGAAGATCTCCGGCGTCCATCTGTTCTCGTGACGGTCGTAAAGGGTGTACTCGGAGCAAGGGATGGCTGGACTCACCCGTACAGAACCGCCCACATCGCCTGACAGAGTAGGAGTCAGAACGTCAGGAGCATGCCACACACGTTTGTCACTCACTGTTGCACTCAAACTGATGCCAACTGAACTCGCTCGAACGGCCCATGATTGCTCGACGGTTACGAACACTCCGCAGAAGAAGGCCGTAACAAACGTGCTCCCTGCGAGTGACCATCGTCTTCCGAGTTGGGATTCAATCAGATAAGCCCCAAGCTATACCAGCGTCTCAGCGAACGGACTGCCGGGGGTGAAAGCTGGTTGACTTACTATTGCTCCAGGGCATCCACCCAGGGCATAAATCACGACGTCCCACATGCTATCCGTCAGGCTCTTCGGCACAAGGAGACCTGCGTCACCAGATCTGGAACGGCCCTCTAGGAGCTTGGGCAGGTAGACATTAAACATTGTGTATGCTTAACAGAAGTAAAATCAGTATCCTGATCTCACACGAAAGCATGAATGGTAGTACAAAGACTCACCCAATGACATTGCGAACCAAGCCGCCCACACAAGCAGCGTTGTGTTCATCCACTCTGGCTCCAACACCATGCCTATGCGGTCAAGCCACGCCCAGAGCGGCTTCCTAAGCCACCGCGGCAGCTTCTTGTACAGCTTTGGTCTGACCTCGTATATTGATGAAGCAACGGACATTCGACGGCTGTTGCGGTCGGAAGATCTGGGGCGCGGGCGAGGATGTGCGTAAGATGCATCGTGCCGCCTATCAGCGATGGACCTCGGCAGGTCATTGGGGGAGGGGAGCAGGGCTTCTTTCACATCATCGGTCTCACTGTCATGTTGCGCATTGCCTCTGATATAGTCGGATGCATGGGGCGGCTCTTGGGGTATAGCCGGCGTATTGAAAGAGTGTCCGTTGAGTTGGACGTTAGATTCCCCTATTGCACTGTAGTTTTTCGTGTCAGATTCGTCCGTGGTCCGTAATATATCATGACTGCGCTGGGAAGACAGGGATCCCTGGCCATCCGGCGAATATCGAGTCTCTACGACATCCTCGTTGTGGTTACCGGCATCGAAAATAAGCGATGCAGTGGCATCGGCGGATGCAATCTCCCTGTCGTGGATTGTCGACGCAGAATAGGGCGGTCTTTGGACACACATATCTTCCTCACCTTGCACGGGAACATGCACGTCCCGTACATCGTCTATATCTAGGTCAAGGTCATTTCCGTTGAATCTCGCAATGAGCTGCAGGGACTCTAGAGCTTCTTGCTGGCGGCCTGCATGAACAAGATAACGAGGAGACTCGTGTAACTTGAAGAAAACTATCCGCGCGAGGAACATTGAAAGCGTCTATTATGAGTTAGGCTATATGCACGGTGGACAAGGGTAAGATGACTCACAATGAGTCCAAGCGCTGACAGTAAATACTTCCAACCCTGATTTTGTGTTGTAATGTCGCACGGAAGAGGTGTAGATGGACAGGAATGCCCCGGGATCACAAGCAGCGCGACATAGGCCGCTAGCACTGAGCCAAACGAGAAGAAAACTGAAAGCGCAGTAACAAGGTACTGTTTCCCGTTGGGCATGTGCTCTAGCAGAAGAGTGCCATCGGTCGGCATCGATCCCTATTTCAAGTCAATTGTTAATCGCGCATCGTATACAAATGTCCAAATTGATAGACTCACCCCAACCGCACTGCCCAAGAAGAAAAGTGCTGCGCAAAGCGTTCCAAAAGTATTTGCAAAAGAAGCCAGTACGCCAAATAATGAGGTGAGGAAAAGGGTAGCATTAAAGGCAGTTGTACGGCCCATCAGATCTGAACCTTTATAGGGAATATGGTATCAGTATGCAGTAGGGCAATAAGAATCCGAAGAGACCCACATGTACCCCAGCCTACAGCACCAAACATCATCCCCGCAAACATGGAGGACGATAACGCGCCAATAAAACCGTCCGAGACTGAAAGCAGTTTCAGCAAAATGACACATCGCCACGAAGTTCAGGGGGACGAAGAATGTAAGGCAAACTCGTATAGTACATAGCGAATATAAAAATCCAGCTCTTCTCCAATAACCTGGCATTTCGAGGCTCTGGGGATTGACGCGAAGGTAGTACATACCTGAAAAGTGTTGTTGCACACGCGGAAGTACTATTGCAATTGCTTGAATCCACATCTGTAGCACCAGGCTCTCAGCACATGTCGTGTTCAACTCGGAACACTCACATTATCCGCCATCCATCCTATGGCGATTAAATGCCGCGTTTTATATTGTACGTATACTGGATGCTGAGACTACTCACCAAAGCCACACAACGAGAGCAGTGTCCATTGGTACCAGCCTATCAACCCGATCCAATCACACACAGCGCATGACTCCGTGTTAATGGGACCGGTAGCTTTACGCAGAGATAACCACGTACCCATGCCAATACGATCGATCGTTTTGTCTAGAGGAGTTCGTCCATCAAGCTCGTCTCGTTCGCAAACCCCCTCCTCCAGGTCGTCAGCCTCGTCGTCGTCGTCGCGGCTCATAACGGAGAGGTAGCTGAGGCGATTGAGGGATGCCATCGCGACAGGAATGGTCGTGTTATATATGGGGACGCTGACTGCGTAAATCCGAAACCCGGTGGCGAGTCACGGCGTGTGGCCGTAGAGGCACTACTGCCTGAGAATCAGAATATTCCTGTTTGGTAATGTAGGTGCTTATGCAAACGATGGCGCCAACTCTAGAGCCGCTCACGATATCAAGGACGAGTGCGTGTAGGGCGAGTCGGCTGCAGGTTCCAGAGGCGTGCCTGTCGATAAAGTCTAGTCTATCGCTAGTATGAAGCTCAGAAACGGTTGGAGCAAGCACCAAATACGATTTAGACAGGAGAGTGCGTTGCAGAGTGGCGGATGGGTCGTTTAGTACTGAGCATGTCAGCCACCCGAGGTGATCGAGGGTTCTAATCCGGTACTCGCTTTCGGGGTCTCAGACAACCGCTGCCTCCCGAATCTTACTAATACTGGCTACTACTGTATGACTTTATTGGCGACGGTGAACAATGTCGAATTCCACACGCGGACCTTGGATCGTCGACCTTGCTGCAGCTGGCCGAGTTCAACATGTGTTTTCACAAAGTGTCTTCAGAAACACCACGACTATCGCTATCCTCGTTGATTATACTCGCAGCTGCCCCAGAGCTGCACGCTCGCCGCGCCCTAACGGAGACTGCGTATTTTTGGACTAACGGAATCTCTCCCGCCTTCAAGTGCAGCCGATACCTGGCAGCCTACATACCCAGTCTGCGCCGAAGTTCTGAATGTCCTGAAGTTAGTCGCCGGCGACCTCGCCTACTTGTCGTGGAGGGGACACTGTCCTCGCTGTAGATTTATGACCATTCTCCGCTTGTTCTTCTGGCGACGAAAGTCTAGCTTCTGCCTCATGTTTCAATTGTTCTACCTTGCCAGCGTCAGATTAGGATAGTGTCGGACCACTTGCAACATGTAATAGTATCATTGATTTTGCAGCTTGTCATGTGAACACTGCTATCAGGTTGGAACAAAGTTCAGCGTTCAACGTTCAACGTTGGCGCGCGCAATCCCTGCTGACTTCGCATGGAATCGAATAACTTTGACTAAAGCCTGATGTTCAACCCTGTCGGCTGTGTCGTCATTTCCGTCCCCACTCTTGTCCTCCCAGAACCTTTCGTCGTCATTTCGCATTATATAGACAGTAAACAGTGGTGCAGTCTGCAGAACTTATCAGCGAGAAGTTCTCGCTGATAAGTTCTGCAGACTCGCCGAGAACCTGTATCATTTCGGCATTTCCGGCGCTACATGCAGGTGCTGCGAGAAACCGACTCACGAGCATTACTTACGCGAGGCCATGCTCAGCAACCGCTCCACACAGGTTGCCACGTTATTTGTGTCGTCAGAAGAGTGCCAAGCCAAGTGTTCCTGGTCAGCTACGCCTCTCTCCACTTCTGCTCCAGCAGACAGTGGTGCGGTGCGTTCGCGGGCACGCATTGGGGCTGAAAGGCACACCTGCGCATGTGTGATAGGCTGGTCGACTATAAGTAGGGTATAGTCTGGAGACAACTCCGCTGATCCAGTAGAGCATGACGAAGCTGTGGCAACAGGCGGTCCGCTGCGCGTGTAAATTAATATTTTTATCGGTTAAGGCTATGCGTCAAAAAGGGCGTTGATATGGCCCCTCGTTTCGCCCCTATAAACCCTCAAACGACGCACATCATTCCTCCAGCTCCCCTCTCTCTCAACCACCACCTTACCTTTGACTCGCCCTATACCAAACGACATGGAAGCCCCTAAGCCTGCTATGACTACTACCACTCAGCCCCAGGCTGTGCAAATGAGTGAGTTGACAGTGGCGGAGGCGGTTGTTGTCCTAAGTCCAAGCACTAACATTGTTGTTGGTATTGCTACAGACATGATGAACCCCCCTACCCGTAGTCAAACGCAGGAATGCCAACACCACAAGGCTAACCGTCTGAGGGGAGGAGGAGCCGCTAAGGTAAGTCAAAGCGGTGCTGTTGTTCGGATGCGAATGAGGCTCAAAACGGTGATCCTTAACAGGACTGCTTCATCGGCGCTGTTGAGTGCTTCCTTTGCTTCGGTGCGTAGTCCCATTCTGCTAGTTTCTACATACTGATGATATGACGCTACAGAGGGTTGCAAGGTTTGTACCACTGAAGTGATGAATTTCACAGCCAAGACTAACATTTCCCCCTCACTACTAGGAATGCTGCGAATGCTGTGCCGACATCGTCTGTATGTATTCTCATCTGCTTTATTATCGTTGATGCTGATAGAGCTACCTGAAGGCTGCCCGTGCGAGATGTGTTGCTAGGCATATCACCACACATTGTATAGCAATATCCTCGCCTTTGATATCTGCGCCAATCATAAATATGTCTTGTAGAGTAAACACGTGTGTCTAGGTATACTACACGGATGCGATGGTGCAAGCGAGGATTGTTTTGCTGTTGACTTATCATAGTACTTTTTTTGCTGAATTCATTGTTTGAAGTTGATTTGAGGTCTTGTTTGAAAAAGTGAAACGGATATCATGACGGCGGCCGAGTTGCTTCTGCGCGGGGAAATGTTGGCTATGATGTCATTTCAACCCCGCTTCAGATCCGGAAAGGATGCGAGTCGTTGGCTGATAATTCTTAAGTACTATAGGACTGAATGATTATCCCGAGCTTCACTATTTTCGCCGAAGTTGTCATAAAATACAACAAAGAATTATTTGTCTTCTTGTGGTGCAAGGACCAAGAAAAGCATCAAAAAGTTGCCTTTCCAATGCCGTAAGCTTTTCCTCCCCCGCCCAATGCGCCTTTCCCACCGGAGAAAGAGTCAATTCTTTGTGTGAAGCCCAAACATACTGTTTTTCGAATATTATTATAAGCCAAATATATGCTATGGTTGCTAGGTTGTATGAATTGTAATGTGATGCCAAATGAATGTGGTGTTCAGTCCGAGTTGCTGCACGAATGTCCGATGACGATGCCTTATCGCTCCTCTATCTTCAAATGTCCATTGCTGCATGGCGTTCTGCGTCGTGATACTGAGATCCATCAGCGATCATATCTTTAAGGCTCAATGGTGAAGCACGGGGAGTTGTTGCCCGAGTCACCGAATACTTGAACAGTCATACATCAACATAAGGATTTTCGGACAGTGGGTGTACGTACAAACGACGATGTAGTCGTTCCGTTCAGGTACGTCGGGCACGGTGATATCAACCTTCCCTGCTGAAATAGGAAATCCTGCTGCCAGTGGTGTATCTGCCGCACGGCAAACAGGCGACACTATTCAGAGCTAGGACAGAGGTGATGATGTGCTGAGTACTCACTGATATCCAAGTTCTCGCTGTCATTCTGCTCGTATCCTAACAGAAGAATACCCGTCGCATTTGTGCGCGTCTGAGGTACCCGGGACGGATCCCAGGTGACGGTCTGATTGGAACTGACTTTCCATACAGTTAGGAGATTAGGCGAGATTATATCCGCACTCCATATAGCATCAGTATTAGGGGACTGAATGAAAGGGATGGTGGAGAGTGGCGAAGCACGAGCCGCAATAGCAAGCGCAGCAACGACGGCGGCGAGCTTCGAAAACATAACAAAATCGACCTGATGTTCACGAGGATAGGAGCTGTGAAGAGGGTCCTCACACGGGTATCACAAGACGTGTATCAGCGATTAAAAGAAAGTGCGCGAAGGTGTCTGAACGGCGCGACCGTGCCAAGAGGAGCAGCGAGATAGTAATGGTAATAGTAAGAAAAGGCTGCAGTTTTATAGGCTGCGCTGAAGTAATTTACGCACGTTGTCATGACTGTCGCCAGTGTTTACCGGGGACGTGACCAACCTGGCAGGCGGCGGCTCTGGTGCGTGAAGAGACATGCCGCCGTGCTTCTCTCGTGACGAGAAACATGTTCGAGGTATTTAGATTCTCCGACCATAGGCAGTTGTGCTACTAGTATTCGGACACACCTGGAGAAATAGATACACGAGTCAATGAAGTAATCAATATCAAGAGTGGTCAATTGGTGGTCAACATGCAATTACTTCCGTCCAGCGTCGCCGACATCGCATCCGAAGAGGGGCTGAAAGACTCGACGACCTCGATTATGTGTAATTCACAGGGGGGAAAATGAGCATGAGAATACCTTAGTAACATTAGGCGAGAGTGGGTCTCGCAGTAAACTTTCTCTTCAGCTTAAGGGTCACCAATCCGGGCTCTGGCAGCGGTCGGGAGTGCGCATCTATTGGCGAGCGCCACTCCGGCAAACGATTTCATCAGGTTGCTTTTTTTAGGCTGTCGGCTACTACATTTGGAATAGTAACTGAAATCATAAAGTTCGGGGAACGAAATAGTATTGCAATACGGTGTTCTATAAGATGCTACGCAACAATGCAAAACGAGACATAGCTGCGACAGAGATTGGAGATATACTAATACATGTGTACACAAGATTCCAATATCCATAGAGATCCGATATATAAGACAGCGTGAGGGCATCAACCCAGTGTTCAGGGTATACCTACGTGGGGCATCCGCCCTTTCTAGTCGTCACTCGCACTAGGAAGTGAATCAAAATCGCTCATAGTCCGTAAGCGCATTTTGAGGGGGGAAGGGTTGAGGTAGTTTCTACTACTCGGCAACCGTGCGATTCGCCGCTTGACGTGCTCACGCGATGGACTCGCAGACATGGTTGAGTCGTCGCTACTCGGAAGATCCGAGTCACTCATTCTGGTGCGACGCAGGGCTGGCGATACGACACCCAGCGGTGTGACTTGTCCCATGAACGGATCATCATCTGACGAGAGCTGCGGTAGGGATTTTGTTGGCGTGGCAAGCATGATAGAATCATCTGTGATCAGGCAAAGGTTAGCAAATGAAGTATAAACACCGGGGCAATTTACTCACCACTACCGGCAATGGGCGCCTCTGCTTCTCGAATGGCCCTCAACGGCGAGGATGGGATGGACGGACTGGCTCGTGCCTCTTGCTTCAGCTCGCTAACACGGGTCTTACGTCGTTTGGTTGGCGTCTGAAACAGCTGCTCAAATGTCGCTGTTTCGCCAAGTAGCTTCGTTGCAGACCGTGTTCTCCTCAGTGGCCGCTCCACACGAACTTGTGGCGTGCCGCTGGACTCCTGGTTGGCGCATGTTACGCTGGAGGATTGTGTACGCTGCAAGGTGGTCGATCGCAAACTCGCGCGGCGCTCCACAAGCAGCACCTGGCTGAAAGTAGGTACCTCAACGGCATCAAGCGTAACAGCTTTGCGTTTGCGTGCCCGAGACACGTGTGTAGAGGTGGACGCAACCGGCGTGGTGTCCTCCCCGGAGGATTCGTCCGATGAGGATCCGAATGGATCTTCATCTTCGCCTTCCTTGGAAGCTGGCTTTCGACGGGATAGCTTGTGCGATGTCCGCTTGAGCAAGGTAGAGGTCGTGCCTTGGAAGGGCACATTGACATGAGTACTACTACTTTCAGTGGTTATGTTGCTGATACTCGACATGCTTTCCAATTTTGCTTGCGGAAGAAGCAAAGGGGCGGCCGAAGCTAAATCGAGTTTGGGCTTCTTCGCCGACCGCTCCTCAAAGACGTCATCGGCGTTGTTTCTCTTGCCTAGGATAGACGGCGTGGCAGGTGAATGCACGGCAACGCGCTCCGCGACAGAAGCCGCAAAGAGGGGAGGAACATTTTCCTTGTCGGAGCTCTGTCGTCGCACAGATCGATTAGGCGAAGACCCAGATTCACGCTTGGGCGTGACTGGCTCGCGTACAGGCAATGATAGGAACGGAGATACATGTAAAGCTGGCGGCGCTGCCGGTAAAGTGCCTTGATTTGCCGGTTGGTGCAGTCGCACAGGTGTCGTAGTATGCACTTGTCTAGGCGAGGACTCCGGTGTGGAAGGTAGAATGGCATGAACCAGAGGACTGGGGACTGAAGGTGCAGGTGGGCTGGAGACAAGAAGCAAAGCAGAAACTACGGCTGCAGTTTCTGTAGCCTCATCATCGTCTTCCTCCGTCTCAGCGAAGAGCGCATCGTTCGAGGCGCCCGATTCCGCAGCGGACAAAGCAATGACATTGGATTGTTGGTCCGATGATGCAAATGTCGTAGCCAGGGGATCCACGGGAGCTTGAAGACAATTCTGAATCCCTTGTGGCCAACCCCACGAAGGTTTTGATACATTCGCATAAGTTGCCAGCCAGAAATCATGGAACGCGTATTTCGCTCCCTCTGGTTTGTCCTGCCGCCCACAGAAAGCTGACTCTATCAGTGGTGTCAGAGCTTCGACAATCTCAATGGAAGCAGTCAAGGATTGGATGCCAAGCAGAACGGTTTGATACACAGGCAAAATCTGTATCAGCTGTCAACAATTACTCGGCGGACACCAATAGACTGCACTCACATCCATAGCATATTCTTCAGCGGTGAAGACTTGGTAGTCATCTGCAATCCATAAACTAAGACCTTCCTGCAGGATCTCGAACATGCTCAACGATAATTCAATCGGGCAAGCATCGATGATACGGGTGAGCGATCTGATCATCCACAAGGCCGTGACCTTGTTGCGAGGTTCCGGTGGGTATGATGAGACTAATGTGTCGTTCGCGAACTCCATAACCTCCGAAGGTATCTGTCGAGCTTCATTGATCTCCAAATGGGAGAGGAGCAGATCAACCACGCGAGTTGACGACGTAAGGGTAGGATCGTGGTTGGACAAGATCTTGGCGGCAATTTGGTCAATGACAGAGACGGAATCGATGCCATAATCGAGACCCTTGGCAATAGTGGTCTGCAGCAGCTTGTCCCACGCCTCGACGTCTTCAGTTGACATGTCCCAGATGTCAAGATTCCTGGACACACGTCATCAATGACCTAGCTTCTTATACAAAGAGGACTCACATGAAGGGCACTCCGAGAAGAATAATTGCAGATTCGAATGGTGCTGCACATTCCTGCCACTTTTGAAAGAAAATGGCCCAAACGGAGCGACAAACTGCTGCGTTCCACATATGGCCACGCTTACTGTAACGAGGATCTATCCGGGAGCGCCAGAATATGTCCAGTTCGCCGGTCTCGCAGTCAAATATCACCTCCGCACATAAGGAAGCCCATTGATATCTGACTTCGTCCACCGCATTAATATTTCCAACAAGGCTCATCTCTTGCCGGATCAGAAACGCGAACAGCTTCCCGGCTGCTTCGACAAGGATTCCTGGAGTGAAAACGGTCTTCAGTACATTCCATAATTCTCGAATCAGATATAGCTTCAATCCCAGATTCCAGCGAGAGACTGGGGTAGGTAGCAGCGCTTGGCGACCAACTTTGACCGGGCTCGTCGGCACTTGCCCGCCTAGCTCAGGCTCCAAGCTTAAATCGAGCCCGGGGTTTTTCAATAAATCGATCAGGATTTCAGCAGCCTGGTTTGCGAACTGTACGATGCCTTGATCATCGTCCGCATCTAGGTAGAATGAGCGCTTAGTCGTGAAAACAGACAATCCAAATCTACCTTGCATCACGGCTGCAGGTGCTCTTACAAGACCATACCAGACATCTATGATCTCAGACTATGGATAGAGATATTAGCAATAAGGTTTTCAAGATAGAAACTGGTGTACAAACCGGAAGCTCGCATCCCCAGGTCAGTCGAAGAGCTCCCAACCCCTCTTTCCAAACATCCAACAAGCTGTTGAAAACCCAATCCACAGCGAGCTCCTCCCTGGTCAAGGATCTCAGGTCCTCCATCTGTGCACATTGCTCGAAGAGTGGCTTTACAGCCTGTGGAAGTAACTTGTACTCTGCCGTCAAAAGGCCAGGGTTTGCGGAGAATAGGCCTAGGGGCAGCAGTTTTTGTGCATTCCATTCAGGCTCAGACTCCAAGCCGACAAGACGTACAGCAGCATCCAATGCGTCTTTGCACGTATGCCCGCCCTTCTTGCTCATTCCACGCAGCACACCGAGGGCGCGCCTCAAAGAAAGTTCATCAGTGGGCTCCTGTGACAGAAGCGCGCCAATGGTGGTAACTCCTGCGCCCATGTCGACAACGGACTGCACCACTTTCCAGACGGTATTCATGCGCTTCATGTAGGCCTGTTTTGCTGCTTCGGCCTCCTCCGCCTCAATATCCTCTTCATCCTCGACCATGTCATCTTCAGAGACAGCTGTTGGCACCTCCAAAGGCGGATGAAAATAAGCCCAAGTCATGCATCGCCAACTCAGGCATCCGAGGGCTCTTACAGAACTCTTCTGATGCCGCATACCAAGCGAAAACAATGCCGAAATGGAGCGTGTAAGCTTGTCGTTAATATACAACGTAGGGCCAAGTAGCACAACGAAACTGGCTAGGACGCTCCATGCCCACACTGGACCTTGCGCGACATGTTTCGGATCTGTTGCACCCAAGGTTGTACGCAAAGTGCGAATAATAACAGGGTCCTTCGAAGGGCTGACAGGTCCGTTAGAAGACGTGCTTTGTTGGGAAGTGAGGAAGTCCTCTGCAATGTTCGAAATCCGCGCATGAATGGACGCTTGGGGTAAGGTTGCAGCTGCATAAGCAAAACCACCTAGGGCATGGCAGGCTTGAGAACGTAATACCAGCGTAGAGGCTAGCAGGTTAGAAAATATGGAGGGCAGCACTTCGATAAACGCAGGTACAAAGACGTTCGGGTAGGCCAGTGACAAATCGTGGATAGCCTGAAGTTTAATTTGAGTATGCTGCAAGATCAACGGTCTATGGAGCCTTACCTTGAGGCCATCATTCACTGATCCCTTCTTGCCCTCTTTCCCCAACTCGCCCTCAATGCCACGGCGAAGCGCGTAAGCGATACGGTCTTTTGCAGGAACAAGAACCTCCGCGGGAAGACGCTGGGTCTGAAGTAGCCACATCGACAAGGCACATGTTTTGCGAGCATTGGGGGTAGGGAGCTCATTCGCAAGAGGAATCGCTAAAACTTGCGTCAAAACAAAACTCAATTGCTTATCTAATCCTGTCATAAGACATTGTATGAATGCACAAAGGAGGCCACATACCGGTGAAGATCTGATAAATAGCGGGGAATGTGAATAGGACGTTGAGGAATTTGATGACAGCGTGGCAGACCGTGCAGAGATCGCGGGCAAACTTGACCTGCTCCTCCGACATTCCCTTCTTTTTGACTGGACTTCCCTTTGGTGATAGCAACACCACACTCTCCTCCTCATGTAGAGTCAGCTCCTCAGAGTGCTCTGTCTTCCCCGGGTCTACAAAAATACGACTGAGATCCCTGACTAACGCGTCCACGAGCATTTCGCGATGTTGCCTAAGTGGGTGAAACAGAGGCCATGAGCAATCGGCATCTGTGCTACCACATACGCACGATCTCAGTCGGGCAGCAAGAACTGAGTAGGCTTCAATCAAGTCGCGCAATGACGCGTCCACTGCAACGATTTTGGAGACCGGCCCTTCAAGATAATGGAGATCAGCAAGGGGATCCGAGGGTTCTGGAGTCGTCTCCTTCTCGAAATTGAGTGCAAGGGGAAGAAGAACATGCGTCGTCTTTTTTAGGATTGACTTCACGGGAGGCGTTTTCTTTGCACTGGATTCAACCGACAAACGTGGAGGACTAGAGGGTAAGATGCGGTATTGACACTCTTCTGACCACACAACTCGACGGCCAGAAAATCGCGCCAGACGATTCTCCTTGTCTCTATGGGATGTGCTTGGTGGGGTAGGGAGACTCATGGAGAGTCAGGATACGCCTGTTACGCGTCAGCACTCGCGCATAAATTATTGAAAAACAAGATTACCCGATTTCTCAACACGATGAGGTTCTAGGAGATATATAGAAGAATAAAATGTAAACCCTGGCGCGCACGACGCGATCCACTGTGGCCAGCATTCATGTTTGCGCATATTGACGCGTCTGAACACACAACGCCTTCAATCAGTTGTGTACGCGATATTTGACCCTCTCGTGACCGCGTAAGACCCCAACACTCCCAAACATCACAGTAGTAATATCTAACCCCTGTTTATTAGTACTCGCTACCATGTTGATGCAGATGAAGGCCGCAATGCTCGCTACAAACAGGATCACGATATTACACATCCTCTCTCGCGAGTGGTGTCTGAACTTTCTAACCTTTAGAGTTGAGCCTGGTTGAGCAATCTCCGCGTTATCCTTCTGGGAGCCGCAATGGCATCAAAACGCGATGGGCTCGTACATCTGAAGGTCGAGCGGACTCTGGTACGTGCACTCTACCCGTCCCTATCGGCATCTGCTGTATGCTACTCTGTGTTCGCATTCCCAACTCCTGGGACTATGGCAAGCTCTGATAGGGTTGATGAGGGCAAAATAAATTGTACTGCCTGTCTTCGCACCGTCACTTGCAGATCGTTCTCAAAGTTGATTACGTACTCCTGCTGCATAGACATTAACTGCATCCGTCGACGGGCCCTTGCCTGTCTCGGTGTGATAATTGTCAATATGTTGCATGGTGCACGCTTCCTTTCATAGAGCGATCTGTTTGAGCGGTTGAAATGTAAGGGCATATGCAATTTCCTTTGCAAATTACATCTCGTAGCCAGAGAAATCCCCATGCCCCGGTGTATGGACGCAGATGTACGTGGGAAAGCGGGCAGTGATGCCTACCTTGTCTACTCTTCAGGGCATCTTGCGGGCTATGTCCTGCGGCCGCGATTCTCATTGGAGAAATGCGAGTTCGCTGGCATGGATACGGTTCAGACGCTCGTGGGTTGCATCGCCCTCTAATTTTTTGCCCAATTACACCTTTTGTGGGTGTCTGCAACTGTATACTAGGTCCTGCTTCCTCACTTGTGAGTCCCCTCATCGATGCTGATTATTACTAACTGATAGAAGATTGAGTGTTTGGATTTTGATATTCTACATTAAGCATTCATTTCGATCTATCCCCTTCAGACTACTATTCAATTCCAATTTTTTTACAGGACTAAGGTGCTTTATGGGTGGCTGTTCGAGGCGATATCCAGGTGCCGGTCGTCCGGATTTGTGAATAAGGTCAACGTAGATGTAAGTCGCGCTTACTGTTCAAATTGCATAATTGTGGAAATTAATTGCCTCGATCTTGGACAGTGCCTTCGCGTATTGTACAGTGTGAGATTGGTTGACATGTGTTGTTATGGCGTCTTTCGATAATATATCCGAGTGGTCAGCCGTCGCCACAAAGCTGTGCGCTTTGTATGTTATGCCTATGGCACAGAATGCTCTTATTGGCGTCAGCATTGAGCATTCCACCGTCTGTTTAGTGCAACGTCAGGTATATCAATAGATTGTTGTCTTGTCTGCGACAATCTATGTCTCTGCTGTTCCGGATGGCAGCTCTTGATATCCTGTCTGCCTCTTGCCTGTGAGCACTCAAATACTGCTATCTCAGACATTGTATTGATGGTTCTTTTGAAAAGTTGGCTGCTCTCGTAGGATTAAGCTGGATAGCGATAATGAGACAAGCCTGAGCCGACGAGTTTGTTTGCAGTGCGGTGATGGTATGAATATGTCCGATCTCTTTACGATGGTCGATCGCTCTTATATATCACACTCTATCTAGCGGCTGTTCAACCTGGAACATCGATGGGCTCGGTCAGATGTTTCTTCATTCCAATCGCCTCGTTGGGTTCCCAGCGTGTCTGGATATGCTCTACGTGCGACTGGAGTACCCCCATGACAGATAGGAGATGAGTACACGTAGCCTTTATGTATGTTGCCCCGGCAGCGTCCGGATGAGATTAAGAACCATTCTCAGAGCCGATCCCGCCGCCAGTACGAGGTGGATGCGCCAGCGCACAGCGAGCCTGTTCCTCTGGGAGAGATGAGTGCTGCTGCGAGAGAGACAAGGTAGCGGTTCACTCCCTTGGCGATCGCATACAACAGAGTTACCGGCATCAGTTCCTTGTATTGCTGATATCACGTTGAATATACTTTAAGCTGGCAAATTGATCTTTGTATAGGATGCGCTTCTCGTACTGAGGTACTGCGTGCCTCTACGTCTACTCGGTCGATGCCGAGCACCTGGACTTGTTCGGGTTGTTCAAGGGACGCTAAGAGAGGTCTTTGTCCACCCTTCCTCCCACGTCCTCGTTGCTTTCAAAGTCTCGCTCGAAATACCATGAAAATCGCTGTTGTCGGGTCCGGAGTGTCTGGCCTCGCTGCAACATGGGTGAGCTCAGCGACGGCAATTAGATTATTCATTCACCGTCTTTCGCCTGCTCATAGTTGCTCAATGAGTTCACCAATCACGAGGTGCATCTCTACGAAGCCGATTCACGACCTGGTGGACATGCACACACTGTCTCATATGAAGGACCAAAAGACAACTCGGTCAACGTTGACATGTGTGTTATTCGCTCGTATATTTCTCGTCATATTGTTTGACTTTCATAGAGGATTCGTACGTAGCGCATCCCGAACACCTTCTGGCTGTATCTGTGGCTCTGATGGCTTGATGCAGATCGTCTTCAATCCTTCCACATACCCCAATTTTCTTCGATTTTTCGACATACACCCTGATCTGCGTAAACGAATTCGGCATACAGATATGACTTTTTCAGTCTCCCGCGACAAAGGGGCGTTTGAATGGGCTGGTCGGAACCTTAGTAGCGTTTTTTGCCAGATTTCCCGCCTGTTTGACCCAAATATGTGGCTCATGGTCTACGATATCTTGCGATTCAATGCTTGCGCAGGAAGGCTTCTTGAACACATGGAACTTGCCTCCCCAGACGACGACGGACCTACGATAGGAGAGTACCTAAGCCAAGAAGGCTATTCCAAGTCTTTCATGAATGACTATTTGATTGTGAGCAGTCGTACCCACCAACGCCAGCGTGTCGATTTTTATGTCTAACTTTTAGCCAATGACTGCTGCGATTTGGAGCACGCCACCTGCCCAGTGCGCTCTCGATTTTCCCGCACGTACATTGGTAGGTCTCTGACGAAATGCGTGTTATGATTGTGCTTTAAATCAGCTCCAAAGATTCAATTCATGCACAATCATCATCTCTTGCAAATTTTCGGAAAGCCTTCCTGGCTTACCCTTCAGGGCGGTAGGTATGTGAACCTAGGTACTGGCTGCGATGTTGCATAATCAAGTTCGTTGGGTTGGCTGGTATATTTTAGCCGAATTTACGTCGAGCGGATACTCTCAAAGCTCCCGAAACCACAGCTACATCTATCTACGCCTGTGCAGTCACTCGTCTCTACACCCATACATGCTGACTCCCGGAACATAGAGCTGACAACGGCCTCCGGAGCGCATGACTACTACGATCATGTCATTTTGGCATGTCACAGCGACACTGCGCTCGCGATTCTCTGTACCGGTGGCGGTGCAACTGCAGACGAGGAACGGATCCTCCGTGCGTTCCGTTGGAATAAGAATGAGGCAGTCCTGCATTGTGATGTACGGGTGCGTATGAACTGTCAACTTGTCGTAATGTGACGTGGATGTTGCTGACGATTTGACTGAGCTCCAGCTCATGCCTATACGGCGCGCCGCTTGGTCGTGTTGGAACTTCCTCTCAAGGTCGAAGACGAACAATACCGGAGCGAAAAAAATCATAAATGAAGTATCCCTGTGCGTTTTATTTGCTTGATCCTTTAAGCGTGACTGACGCAAAAAGTAGCACCTGTGAGTCTTGTTTCGGCACTGAACAAGCGTGTCTTTCATGCTTGGATTCTCTGTAGATTGGATGAATGATCTTCAGCACATACCCGAGGAACTTCACGGACCTATTTTCGTCACGCTCAACCCGCTATTTGATCCCAATCCAAGTCTCGTCGCAGGCAGGTATTCTTACGACCACCCAATCCTAGATGCCAAGGTAATCATCGGTTAATTTACCTTCGCATTATCCGCTCATCCACGAGCTCATAGGCCATTCGCGCTCAACAAGAGGTACACATCATTCAACGAAAACGTGGCATTTCATTTGCCGGCGCATGGCTCAAGTACGGCTTTCACGAGGACGGCTTTACGTCCGGGTTGCGCGCAGCAGCAGCAATTATGCAAGAGGACGCGACCTTGAATGAGCGAGAGATGCACATGCCGTTCGAGATCGTCGACGCTGATCGTCCGGGCCGTAAGTCACATATGTTCGCTGCCATATTCGACTTCCTACACACTTGGGGGGCAAAAACGATTCTTGGTTTATGCCTTGTTACCTTTGCAAGTGGCATATACTTAACAGTGTACGGAACGACACTCCCGACGAATAATGGCGATCCATCTTCATAAACCTACATTGTTTAACCAAGAGATCAGGCCATATTGGAAGAGTCAAGATCGATATCATAGGCCTGCAGTGGCGTTGTCGAGCTGACACGACGCAACCCTGAGCATATAATTCGGGAATTCGGGTGCCGCATCTTGAGAGATTGGGAGACTTAGTTCTTTTGTACTTATATGTAGTCATGATGAAGTCTACCTAATGACAGCAATATTCTTGGATGTTATCATGTACTATACGTAGATCACGTCACCCGCAATATATATATAATCAGTGGCTGAAACTTGTACATGGTCTATGTCGCTGCAACTTGAGGTTGTGATGATTATTGCATGATTCTTCAAGTAGAGTCAACCTGACGCTCCAGACTCCAGACTCATAGATGCAGGTGTAATCGGCAGCGTGTTTAAGATGTATATCAGGTGGCAGAACGTTCGATGGATTAGTGTGAGAGATGCATGTACACGAGTGGCTGGACGAGTGCTATGCGATACAATCAATGCATGCGAGAAGCCAACGGCTATGAACCAGAGCAAGAAAACTTGGACGACGGTATACGTATGTGCGAGATGCGGTAACAAACCAGAGTAGACAATTTATACAATAATACATACCGCGACTGATAAGTTGCAGCACTACCGACAGTCCGACGCTCGTCTATGTAGTTGATCTAGCAGAAGTAAGAAAACTATGATGCAAGATATTAGTAATGCAGATGTGAATGATACGATCACCCTCGCTGCTCGTTAAGATCAGGTAGAGAAAAGCGAACTTGGTTGCGAGGAGAATCACCCTCCTCATCGGATGGAGCTTCACTGCCAGGTTGGGGTGTCGCCGGGGATGACGGTGAGAGGGGTGTTCTCGGCGTGCTCCATCCATTACGTTGGTCTGCGAAGCGTACTGATCGGGTCGGGGATTGCTCACGAGATCCTAGACCACGCATGTCAATAGAACGGATAGAGTCGATGCGCGCATGCTGCAGACGTGACTGACGAAGACTGGATGGAAGTGTTGGAGGTTCGTTGATAAGACGTCGACCTTGACGATCATCTGGTGCCTCCGTACCAGCCTCGTAGCCGTAGTCGTCACCGTGATCTTCTGCATCACCACACTGCATGGAAGAAACATCCGTGCTCCGAGTGCGCATAAACGCACGAGGGAGGTGTCGTCGGACAGACATCCGTCGGCGGGAGCCACTCTGCCCTTGCCTTTGGGCGGAGGATTTGGGAGGAGATTTCGATTGCCTCCTAGCGGATCTCTTTCCCTCCACTGCTGACGCCGAAGTACCCTGCTCTCCATTACTAGCATCCGAAAGCCATCCTTCCTCATCTTCAATCTGACTACCGAGTACTTGTCTTGCTTTCTGTTGAGTTTCGAATTCTACACTCTTTATCTTGTCCCGAACTCCTTCCGCTTCATGTTGGATGCTAGTTTCGGCCTGGGTCATGAATGCTTCGACGTCGTGCGGTGCACGCATCAAGCGGTGTTTGATATCTTTGATGACATGAGCTGCCGCCCCTTCGGCAATGCGGATAGTGTCTGACATGGTCTCCTGTGGACCATTGACATTCCTCTGTACTTCGACCTCGACCTAAAAAGAACTATCAGTAGGGCGAACATGGCTGCGAAAAAAAAAGATCACTGACCTCATTGCCAGGCCCAATACGTCTCTCAATGATACGATGGGGGCCCTCTTGCCACTCCTGAATGACCTCCGAGCCATCAGGGAGATTCTCATCTCGAATGTCTGTACCATCCGGCCTTCTCGCGGCCTCTTCTTGGGATCGCGAAGCTGAAGACCCTTCTTCTTTCTCGTCCTGTGTTGTACTGCTTTCTCGCATCTCAAATTCATCAGACCTGCTTTCCTTCTCATTGGGAGGTAAAGTGCCTCTCTCCATCTCACTATCTCGATTGATAATGATATCTTGGCCTGGGATGACGGGTCGTGTGTGTGTGGTCCACTCGGGTAGCGAACGCCCGCTGAATGTTCCGAAGGTGTCATGACGGGACCACGTCCGTGAGACTGAATGAACACGACGCCCAAGAGAGAAGAAGGGGATAGAAAGGCCATGAATCGTAATAGAACAAAGAACCATGAAAGCAACAATGGGCTGGATAGTGGCTGCAAGATATTGCGCCTGATTTTCTGGAGGGGAAGCAGGATTTGGAAGCTGCTCAGCTGCAAGAGTGGATATGAAAATAGCACCTAGTAGAAAACGAATCCACAGCCACGATTAACAAGCAAAGAAAAAGTGTACACCAATAATCAAACATGCCTATACCCATTGGCCCGAAATGCCCACTGAAAATAGCTTCGCGGAAGGTCTTTACATCAGGTATCCATCGGTAGAGAGCAATCATGACAGGCAATCTGCGTAGAAGTAGGACCAAGATGGCAATAACGATGAGCCGCCAGACGCTGAGGGTCAGCGCAGTATCAGAGAAGGTGTCGAAGGGCATCCATGCGCCAACAAAGACAAACGCAGCGATGTTGAAGAGCAGATCGATGACAGAAGAGAAGACAGACTGTTCAGTCTGTTTGTTGAAGAAGCCATCCCAGGCGAAGGCAGTTCCACAGGAGAAAGCTGCTAGTAGATCGTCCGATCCAAGGAGTGTGTTTGCACCAATGGTAAGCATGGCAAGAGACACATACATCGCGACATAGGATTGCCTATCGATAAGGTCTTTGCGCTCACAAAACTTCATAAGATGTCGGAAGGCATATCCCAGGACCGCGCCGAACACTATACCCAGAACCACTTGATCTGCAGGAATATAGGGATTGGGTCACATGAGTAAAACAGCAGCAGACAAACGCGAAAACGCACATAACCAGAGAAGCAAGAACCAGTCAGACACAGCCCTCCCAGTTGTAGGGTCGATGGTAAGATACAAAGCAATGAATAAGAAGGGGAAAGCCGCCCCATCGTTGCAACCACTCTCCGCGGCAAGTAAATGTCGCAGATGGGCTGGTACATGTTTGTCTGCATACTTGCCGCCAACGACTGCCGCAGCAAGGATAGGATCAGTCGGTGTAAGACAGGCCGCAACTGCCAGTGATGAGAGGAAGTTGAGTCCAGGGATGAGCGCATAGATGAGGCCAGCTGACACAAACCAGCCCTTCAAAACGAGTAGTGTCAGATATAGTAGATAGCAGCGCCTCCCACAGGACACGCACCCATGTCATAACTGGAAAGAGGAGGAAAAATAAACTTTTCCAGTGCTTGGCCATATACGCTTTGGGAAGTTCTACGCCTATTGCGAAGACTCCAATAGCTAACACAACCCGAGTAAATTCGAGGACAATGGTGTTGGACGTAGCGACATCGTCTCCTCCCCATTCGCGAGGGTTGAATATATTTGCGCCATATGGCCCTGCTTAAATCAAAACCTAGCGCAGGACGAGGGGGAAAAAGTTGTACGCACCAATAACCACTCCGAACAAGAACGCCAAACATGCTTCCCCTATGTATAGCTGCCGTATCTCTCAGTGCTGATCAAGAATTGCGCGTGTGAAGGCCCACCTTCTCGCGGATGAGCAGCGAGAGCATGCCAAACTGTGTATAATGTATTGAGTGATACTTGCACTGATGAAACGATAAAGCAACCTACAATCACTACAAAGCCACCTAGCGCGGCATAGATGATGTGAGGTGTGGTAACATCAATCTATATGCACATAAGTGAGCAACATAGCTTAGAGCATCGCGTCGCCACTTAAGCCCAATCGCTCTAGGGAAAGACGCACCATATGAAATCGAGGCATGATTGCGGCAAAACCTCACGCACACGACCAACCCGGGACACAACTATGGGGGATGAAGAAAGCAGGACTAAGATATGTATAGCACTTGGTCGTAAGGTCGTGAATGAGTCGTACAAACCGAGGTCTGAAGTGGTTGTGGGCGGAAGGGCGCCGAAGTGTGGAGAAATAAGCAACGAATTTAAACCTTGGCTAAGGAGTTGCCGAAAATTCGGAGAGCGCCAGATATCTAGCCGACGCTCCAGGACGATGTGTTCGAGTGTCGAAAGAATTCGACGCTGTCTCTAGCAACGGCGACGAGTAAAATGGATGATCGAGAGGGGGGCATGGAATATCGCTGCCTTGAGGACGAGGTCCTTATGTCGGCCGAGTTGAAGGCGTCCAGTCAGCCTGCGGACACGGATGGCGATTCTGATTTAGGAAGGCCGGCACCCGAAGCCGTGGAAATCCCCCTCCGGCTTCTTTTCGGCCGCTCTACTGAACGCTCGCCTAACTGTTTCCCACGATGAGTCCACGCTTGATCATGGTCCTACGCATCGACATGGCAAGTGAGGCTCGTATTCATCTCGCTTGTGGAACAATGCTTATCCAAGGGAAGACTTTCAGGTCTTCAAAGGGAATAGCGGCACGAATTTGATTCCGCATGGAATGTCCAATATGTGGTCATACATGACTCATGACAAATCCGGGTAACTTTTAATCTTCTCTTCCTATTACAGTCGGTAACATCGACACCGAGATGCAAGCATGCTGTCTAGGCACTGCAGCGTGTACAGCGACGGGCGGGCCGTCTACCTAAACTCAAAATTGTGCTGCGTGTTGATCCGAGCGCTTAGAATGCACTTGAACCCGTGTCCTACCGCTATGTGGCCAAGACTTTCAGGTCGACGATTCCTGTTCTCGTCGGTGAGAAACATAGATTCCTGTCGTAAAAATGACTGATCTGTCGCTGATCACGCCAGAGTTGTGATAATTAAAGCTAATGAACCTTGTGGCGAATTACGATGCCATGGCATTTACTAGTATAGCGCACACGAACAATCCGAGGGACCATCGGGATTAAGGGAATGCTGCATGAGATAAACATCAGGCTTGAGCTGCATCTTTTGGCAGCACAGGTTACACTTATGTGGAAGCGCGGCGCTCTCCATAAATGTGTTCGGAACACACTGTGAGTATATATATGTTCACCTGACGATAGTATGCGAGTAGTACTCCGAGCCGCTAGCCACGGGTTTGACAGTGTCGCCCACAGTATGCCGTAACGACCACCCCGAGTTGCAGCTGATGGCACCCGGATCATGCGTCCGTGGCGAATGTCCATTGAGCACTTAGTCCGTCGCGGACGACGGAGCAGTACTACCTGGTATAAATCAACACAGGGAAAACTGCTTTCGTATTCAGACATGTCGAATCGCCAATTTAATGAGACCAGAAATACCTACAACCTGAGCTTGACGTGCACGCGAATGTGCCACATGATGCATGCCTCCCCAGGGCCCCAAGAGTCGGACCATGACGCTCAACGTGCGTCTGTCAGGGAATGCTGCGAGAGACAGGTGTATGGTCTGAATTCCTTTAGCAGATTTGGGGCGGTGAGAATGAGCGAGATCTAATGGTGTATATAATGGTTCGCAATGCATTCAAACCGCTATTATTAGAGACGATCTCGGACTGTTTAAAAATACTGCTAGTGACGCTTGCAAAGTTAATGCTTGTGATTCCGAAATATACGGAAATAAGCTAGATAAGACCCCATACGTGGAAGGTTTCGGTGAGCGATTGAGGATTGCACAATCCCAACGTGTTACGGGCACATGTTACGATGCTCAGACTAGACACATTGTGTTCTAACACGATATACCCATTTCCGATTGAGAAGTCATCTGGGACATTGTAATTGCTAAACCAGGTAAAATGAGCTCACTTCTGAGATGTTACCGGTCACCAGCTGGGACATTGACACCTTCGAGCGTATGCGAAGTTGAGACAGAATGCACACAAAAATCACCGGTCTGACGTGCAAAGACTACATTGGCGACGGATCAGAGTATAATTTTCACGGGAATAATCTATAGCAATCAATGTATGATGTACATTACGAATGTCTGGTAGCTTTTGAAAGAACGTAATATCGACACTAGCGCCATCACTACAGGGACGACTGCGCGACGAATGAGTCATACGATGACAACAACAAAGTAGGAAAGTCAAGGCTTTGCTTTGGTGACATGCCTCAATCACTGCAACACCTGTCCACACCTTGTGCAGACCGTCTTCCTATCACAGCTGAAGATGTATTGAGAGGGATACTCTAAAATCAGAAGATCGAATAACTTACAGAAGGCATAGAAGTCCACAAGGGAATAAGAGGACGGCACAGATAATACCACAAACACCATACTTCTTGGAAACCTGGTGCTCACCGCGCGCGCAGCGCGCAAAGACTATTCGACGGTAGCGGTAGAAATGAGATGAGCTGAGGATACTACGCATGTTCATATAGGCGCAACTTACGCTCCTGTTGGAACTGTGCACCAACACTGGCAGCTTCCTTGTCCATGATATAAAGACAGATAGGATTTAAAGGTTAGAGGATGTTTGGAAGAATAAGCCAGAACAGGGCAAATGGTACAGCCAAGCGAGACGTAGGCAATGAAGTGTGCTGGTTTCTGAGGTCAGAAAGTCAGTATAAGTATACTCCAAGGAGGCGGTACACCAACTGCATTCTAGCACATCCACAAGCGCAAGATGGTTACCAAGTCAAAGAGGGCAGTGTCGAGCGTGATGTCAACTTGGGTTGATTGACAAGCACGCCACTTTGGCGATGGCATCGCGACGCCTGCTAGCCGCTCGCGGGGAGCCTGTCTAGGCGGAATGTTATACACGCTAGTCCATACTAGTGCTGCGAACATAGCGCCAGCGACAGAATAATGGGCTCCACTGTTCATCGTCGACCGACAGTGGAACCACGAGCCATGTAGACAAAATCTGAGAGGACGGAAGCAGGAGGTTTGTCACCTACCTGTGCAGACCTTGGAAGAACGCAAGAATGGAAATGCTCTTTGCCACTTTAATTCTCCAGATCCGTCAGGTTATATACTTCCTTCAGCTGACCTTCCAGGTACCTCCGGTGGCGGCTGACATGCTTCCGACGCGGAAACTTTGAAAGAGGCTACCCGCGCGGAGGCCGTTTTCTAACCGTTTGGGATTCCTTGCAGTATTCCCATATGATATGGATACGGTGATCTAGAGTCTTTGCAGAATCAGAAGCAACTGCTGCAAAATGGCTAGACGCGGGGTAGCGGTGCGGTACAACGGTGATCGTGGTTAGCGCTATGTCCAATTGGTTTACTCAAGATATACACCAGAAACAAAATCAGTTCTCGATCATATGCATGGAACAGCGCGAACAAACCCTTACGCAGCCTTACCACAGCAGGCAATGTATTTCATCTATGCCAAGGATCACAGCCTGATCATACCAGTGGGTCTTGAATGATCTGAAGCGAAATTTTGAGTTGATCGTCTCTATGTGGTTGCGATTCTGCGAGTCCCGTACATAAACGTGAGAAGTAACAAATACACAAGTAGCAAAGCACCAAGGTAGAAGGGAAGGATACAAAATAAAGAATACACTACACCAGAGGTCGAAGATATTATAAAGGGATCGCGGAGAAGTGGAAATTGGGCATTCTAATAGGCTGATATGGAATGACAGATTGTTTTGAGAGCCCGCTCGTTGTTGTTGGTTGCGAGAAAGACAGATATGGGTAACTCTATCCGAAAAGGTTGTCACGAGTGGAGAAAACATGAACGCAGGATTTATTGCTTAGGGACGTGCAGGCTACCACGCAACGGCGTACTGGTGTTCCTGAACGAAGTACTGCATATGTATATGTTACCCACTTCAGAGTCGAGAAGGGAAGGAGAAGCGACTCACAGAATCCCTAGCAATTTGAACTTCTTGATGCACGTCGACTTCCAGATTAGTTCCCTGAAATACAGATCAACAATCATTCCCGATAGAAGGTGCTATACCAAAACGCACGGAAGTGAGCTCTGTATCTTGTTCCAGGCCATGTTTAGTAACTTTCTCCACCATCAGGAAGGTCGGCATAGTAGCGTGATCGCCATCGGTACCACGGCCACGTAAAACTGTACGTGTGTTGAGACTACCAAACTAGTCAATGACTGACTTGCATACAGAATGCGCAGATACCCACGTTGCGAGGAATGAATTCGCATACACTAGTTAAACAGATATGTGGTGAGTGTGTGTTTTACCGATATGATCAAAAAGCGTACATTTGCTCACAACGAAGTACAGCCCCATAAAAATGAAATTCTGTGGCATGATATCGTACTGCCATAGATCATGAGATTGAGTGAAACATGATTGTTATTAACACGTACCAAGATAAGAGTGGTCAGGCTGACCGCACTGCAAGCGGTCATCTCATTCAGTAATGTAGTGATATATTATGAAAGTAAATAAAGTTACCTGGTGAGTACCCCAGTGTTCACAGCGTAAAGGGTTAGGCTATTGACAAGTGAATCATCCCTAGCGCCATAATTATTAAATGGAATGGTTCCCGAAAACATGTGCGAACCCACTTAGAGTAACCTGTACGTAACTTCCGCAAAAAATAGCAGAGCGCCATAGCAGTGACAACATCTGTGGCGACGCCCAGGGCCAAGGAAATACTTCCGACAACCTAGTAATATTCTCATTCTCATGAAGGGAGCGCTCAGAGACAGGAAGAACAGACTCACCTTGATGTCCGCTAGTACCAGGAGGTTGGGTATCTTAAACCTGGTCGTAGCTGTCACCACACGCGCACTGACAGCGCAAAATACAATGCTCACGCCCTTGCCGTGTACACTGTCATTAATGGCATATTAGCATATCAGTGATGCCACCATGAGGCATATAGCTTACCAGATGCCATCGCTAACAGATGAGTGTTAATTATGATTCGATCGAAATTTAAAAGTGTATGCGTACCCAATTGTGCGAACGTGAGAAGGAGCTATTATGGAATTCGCAAATGAACGATCTCATCTCTGAAAACAAAAAAACTCACAATAAACCCAGTGACCCAAACGTTACTGTTGCTGACTGGGAAGATGTTAACGCGGCGTATGTCTCGTAGACAGCTTTCTCACATCTATAAACACGCATGGCAAAACAGCTACGAACGTTCACAAGCAAGGGACGGATGAGCACCGCTACATTTTGAAAAAGACTTGTAACTTACGCCTTCACTATAGCGCCTGCAGTAGCCTGTCCAACGAAAAGTGTGAACCATACACGGAGACTCAAGTGATGAGAGGAGACGAACACCTAACGTGACTTGAAGCTAGTCATAGAATTCGATCAGAAGGGGAGCGCTCAATCAGAAAATCAACACACTCACGATGAGGCTCCTATAGGACCGTCGCATGATCACAATGATTCTCCATACCGCCAATTACAGACACACATACCAGTGGGGGCTTTCTAAAATAATGAGCGGGTTGTCCCAGTTGCTAAAGATATTTGATTGGCCTGAGCATACCCTGTCGAATAATATTTATGCACGTACGTGACAAGGTAGAAATAGACCGCGTAAGAAATGAATGCTTGGTCAACAACTTCCAGTAGCCTGTGTTAAAGTGAGAGCGTGCGAGGGAACTATCCGGAGGAGAACAGACCATAGCGCGGCAACCTACAACCGAATTGTGTCAAAATGGTTAATATAATAGGACTCGGTAGGGACGACTCACGAGGCATTTGTAAAACGGACGATCTAACGGATAGCGACAGAAGTAGGTGTACATCTGGGTGCTGAGGGTTCCCAGCAGTCTAGACGTCGACGAGTTTACATGACTGCCCAGGTAGATGAAACAGAGTAATCTTACACGCAAGAGGCTCCAAATCCAATGAATGCCGCACCAAAGGTGGCATTGGCGCTGGAATCCATTGCTACGGGCGGGCAGAGAGAAGAGCGAAAAGGAGTGTAGGTGGCAAATGAATGAGATGTGCCAGACTTTCGAAATCTCTGTTCGACAGCGGGGGAGAAGGAAAACCGAGGCCCTGAAATGCAGGATGAAGAGAAGCCCTGAGGGAGGGGAAAATAGGCCAGGCACCAGGCTTGCCTCCGATACCACTACAGTCCCCGGACGACGCCCTTCGAGAAGGAAGAAAGATTGCAGTCGCGGTCGTCCGGATGAATCTCGCTATTGACTTGGCTATAAACGGCAACATCCAGTCGCACGCGACATTCTCTGAGACAGTCACTCGTGTTCCAGACACTTGTGCCGCCATCTCATCTATTCCCCTCTTGCTCGCAGTAACTATCCCGAGCACTGTGCATTCTGCCCGGACATATCTACAGGCTCTTCCTCTTCGATTTTTACTGCACTCTGTCCACTACTGACCTCCTCTTCTCCATCCGAACGATCTGATCCTGCCATATGTCATGTGCTTTTTGATCGGATCTAGGGAGACAACACCCACCTGTTCCGGCCGCCGTACCTAGACGAGCCAGGCCTAACAACAGTGCGCTCCCCGTCAACCCCGTCGACGCACCCCAAATCAATCCGCGCACGATATGCAATGGCGTCAGCAAGCGTTTCACGCTGGGCTCGGTCCGCGTGGTTCCTCTTTTCCCCCTCGCACGCTCATATCCACCCAGCGTTCGCGTGGCATCCTCATCCCACCTATACACAGTCAGTCCACGCTCAATTAGGAGCCGGACCAAAGGCCTGACTATTGTTGCAAGCATTGCCCACGGTACGAGATGATCCACCACCTTCCGCGATGGTGTCTGTGACTCCACGCGGGCGATCAAACTCCCTCCTAAGCGGCCTAGGCCCGGCAAAGCATCATCAGCTGGCGTGAGATTAGTAAGTTTCCATTCGGCTGAAATCGAGCGTATAGCAGTGACAAGCTGCGGATCTGCGATGGTAACCCAATCGACGGGAGTGGGTGCCTGTCTTGATTGAAGGCTTTGCGGCACCGACATAAACAAGTGCGGATGAAAACCGTACATTGTGGCGGTCGAAGGAATAGTATCCAATAGTCGATGAACGTCGAGGTATGGTAGAACAACTTGAGCGCGGCATACCGTCGGACCAGGATGTTTAAGCGAGATTTCAGTTCCTAGCGACTTCACTTCCATTGTAGCCGAATCTTCCGGCGCCGCTGTAGGATGCAGGGTTTCATGAAGTCCGCACGTACGGCAGTACTTGTCCGGAACGCGTTCCAAGCTATCCCCGTCGTTCGCTGTCTCCGCTACTCGCTTTGAGGTCTCACGGGGCAAGATGTTTTCGTCCTTCATCCAAAAGTAGACATCGGCAGTGGTGAGAGGAATCCCATCCTTACTCCCAGGTAGTGATGCGACGTGCTCTTCGTATGCATGTAGTAACGCCCGTGCACGACTCATCTATGGGCGCAATGGTTTGTATTTTAGCATTTGTGAGCACATGAGATAGCATACGACACGTGAGTACAACAGCAGTATTTGTCGCGTGAAACATACCTCGATTGCCTTTTGGCGGCCTAGCACAAATTGTTTGAACCGCGAAGCATGTGGGACGAGAAAGGATACTGAAGCTGCGGCCGAGCGTGCTTTATTCCGTCCCTTGAGATCTGCGACAATTTCAATGCTTCACCGATATAACCGGACTGCTCGAACAGCAGACATACCTTTTGTAGCGATCGGCACTTGAGAGAGAACCTCTCGCAAGAGGATGGAATAGCCTGCATAGTAAACGGCACAGAGTGTCAGTGAATAAATTCGCACGAGTCCAAAGCTCAGTATTGGTATCAAATTCGATCCAGACATACCAGCCTCAGCATCTACCCCAGAACTTCCCGCAGCATGCGTATTGGCAGCGTGAGAAACCTCATCGACCTTCTCGTCCTTCCATGTAACTTTTCGAACATCCTCACGAATAGGCAATAGCTGCGTGTTCCGATCCAGCTCTATATCAAATATTTGCTTATCACCTAGCACAGGGTGGGAAAGATGGACGGGGTCGAGCTAATCGCAACGGGGGTCTGTGAGCACAAGACACTATGCGCGAAATGCGAGTCATACATCTACCCAGTGTTCAATATCCATAGCAGCATTTTGACTACCCACCCATAAGAACGTGAGTTTCGCTAGAAAGGCTTTGTCCGTGGTGCTTGTTACGACGAATGGTGGCTCGGTGATTACAATTGGTTCCACAAGACTAGAAGGCGGTGGGTCGGTAATACACGTGATGGTTAATTTAGCAAGGAACGTGGAAATATGTAGACTCTATTGTTACCGAGAGGAGCCTGTGAATTACGAAGAAATCGGAGGAATGACGAACACTCACGTAAGATGGGGACGAAACTGAGAGACGCCACTTATGAGTGTGGTCCACCTTGCCTCTCTCACGGCGCTCTACACAAGGTCAGGGATCATTAACGGAAATATCCTAGATGCGAGGGGCATACCCGGAGTTATCCAAAGACTAGAATCCAAGACTGATATGCGCGCAACGATATGGAACCTAGTGCCAGTAATGTTAAGTAATGTAGGAGTGGGAATGTTGGATGATGATCTAGATTCTGCTGGGATGTCGGACGCCTCTTGTCCTTGTGTAGTGAATACAGGCGAGGTTTCAGGATCCAGGCCAACCGTCGCGACACTGCGGTGGATATAGGGCATACGCCATCCGCGTTGAACGTCTAACGACCGATCGTTGAACTCGTCAGCGAGACCTACAATATCGACTAGTTGGTCCTGATCTCCATGGATATTAATAATGCGCTTTTTGGGGGCCCTGCCGAGGAAAAGTGCAAGTGCTGGAGTGTCCTCATGGTGGCCCAGCGTTCGTGTGATATGCGTACTTGGTAGTGGTGGAAGCTGAGTCTCCTTGATTGTGTCCGCACTAGTCTCCGAATGCACATCGCTATCCACTACAGGCTGCATGCCTGGAACCACGACATTGCTGTCACCACCAACTGCAATTTCAAACAACCTTCGTAAACTGGGAAGGCTGATACCGCTTAGTTCTGTACCATTCGCCACTATCCAATCGCGCTCATCATCAGGCACGAGTACCGCGCAATTCTGTATGCACTCATCGTGACTACCGAATTCGCGCTGGTGCCGGAGTCGGCAATGGTTCAGCAGACCTTGAAGATTGGAGAAATCTGAACGACCACAGTCTGGACATGCAAGCTTGGCAATAGTAGGTGGATCGGTTGTTGTATTTCGGAGAAAGAGTAATTTCTTCGGGAGCGTAGGAGTGGCACGGGGAAGACCGCGTGCGCGGGATGAGCCCTGTCGCGGAGCAACATGAAAGTCCGTGGCAGGCATAGATAGCGCTGTGGATGGTTGGGGTATCAGTGGAATAGTCTCTTCGTAGACTGTAATGTCCCTTTCGTAGAGGAGGCGACATGGCTCTTCCAGGACATCTAATGTTGCCAAAGCACTGTCTTTGAAACTTGATACAGTATGGTTCGTGCCTGTTACTCTCTTCAGCATACAGCGTACCACCCAAAGCATGTGGCCACACCATTTGGTGTAGAATTCAGAGCCTTTTGGAGAAGTAGTGCCCAAGTGAGTCGGGAATGAATGGTCTCGGACAAACGCCGTCTCAAGCCTATCTCGACATCTAGTTCTTCTAGTATGACTTGTCTTGTACTAGGGTTGTTGTCTGATAATGTCATTGTTGAGCTAAGGACCGTCATTGACAACGTGGAGAAATCACACACATTCATCGGTAATTCTGCGCCTTTTTGCAGGTCGTCTACCAAGCTCATTCTCAATAACAGCGACTTCAGGAATCTCTAGATGCATAGTGTGAGGTCTCCAGGCCGTCTTGGTTTCCGAGGTAGTATAATGTCAGCCGTACAGATTCAGTAGAAAGTGACGTTTGTCGGATAACTCGGATTCTCGCCGATAGTTTTAGTACTACTCCAGAGATCGGGCCCAGCGTGACGTTATGAGCGCGTCAGGTCACATCGCGCCACTCATACTTGATCACGCACGCGTCTTGTTGACTCGGAAGACCGCCGCGTCTCGCCCTACAAATCTGCGCTCTCATACAGCATGGGTATCAAAGGCCTTACCAGTCTGCTCGTGGAGCATGCTCCTAAAGCCATCCAAGTAAGTTCTCAGTCAGTTCTTATGCAGGCTCCTTGCAAACGCTTTTCACCAGGAGCATGACATTAAGACCCTATTTGGCCGCAAAGTCGCCATTGACGCGTCGATGTCCATTTACCAATTTCTGATCGCGGTACGCCAGAAAGATGGCGAGTTATTGACTAACGATGCGGGGGAAACTACTAGGCAGGCATAAGTTTCTTACATGACAGCCGCCTGTGCTCACTCTGAATGGTTACAGCCACCTCATGGGCTTCTTCTATCGTACCATACGGATGGTTGAGAATGGTATTAAGCCGCTGTACGTCTTCGATGGGAAGCCTCCTGAAATGAAAGCTGGTGTGGTGCGCTTTCTCTCTTCCTTTAGAAATTACGCTTTCTCAAATATCCCTCAGCTATCTAAGCGTCTGGCACGTAGGGAAGAAGCTAAGGAAGAAGGGGAGGAAGCCAAGGAAACGGGTACAACAGAAGACGTGGATCGTTTCTCAAGGCGTACCGTGAAAGTCACTCGGGAGCATAACGAGGAGTGTAGGAGATTGCTCGGTTTGATGGGCATTCCGTTCGTTGTGGTGGGTTAATGAACATGGATACCGATATCTGCCCTGGTGACAATTTCATTTCTAGGCTCCATCTGAAGCTGAAGCACAGTGTGCAGAGCTCGCACGAGGTGGAAAGGTTCGTATACACACACCAGACCTTTCATGATACTCAAGTCATTCAAGGTATATGCTGCTGGGTCAGAAGACATGGATACCCTCACATTTTCCGCACCTGTATTATATCGCCATCTTACTTTTTCTGAAGCCAGAAAACAGCCTATTAGCGAGATCCACCTTGACAAGGCGCTTGAGGGTCTCGAGATGAATATGTCACAGGTGCATACTTCTTCATTCTTTCAATATCTTTTCGAATTCATGCGTTCTGGTTTAGTTCATCGATCTATGTATTCTTCTCGGCTGTGATTATCTTGAGCCAATAAAAGGTATAGGGCCCAAATCTGCCCTCAAACTAGTCAGAGAACACGGTAATCTCGGTGCTGTCATTGAGCACTTGCAAGAAAAGTGCGTGAATGGCTCTCGAATGAACTAAAACCTCATGCCTTCATTCAGATTGGCAGCTAAGGAAGAGGCTAAAGAGGACGGGAAGAAGAAAAAGGGCGGGATTTCCATACCAGAGGAGTGGCCATGGGAGGAGGCCAAGAAAGTCTTCGAGAAGCCTGATGTTACACCAGCGGACCAGATTGATGTTAGCCGACACTATGACATCTAGATGCGCATAAGCTGATTTCGATTCTAGATTGAATGGAAGTCGCCGGATGCTGACGGCCTTGTGCAATTCCTGGTGACTGAGAAAGGTTTCAAGTATGTAGCTCATTTTCGTCTCCGAGAACCCTTCTGAGTCTTGATGCAAGTGAGGAGCGTGTCCGAAAGGGTGCTGAAAAGCTAGCCAAATTCCTCAACGCGAAGCAACAGGGCCGCCTGGATGGCTTTTTCGCAGCGAAGCCCAAACCATCTCAGGACCGAACAGACGATGAGGACAAAGGAAAGGGGAAAGGGAGGGGGAAGGGAACAAAACGCAAGGTACACTCAGATTTATGGTTCCGTATACAGCACGCCGTTTCTTATCATGTGCTTTAGAACGAGGACAAAGATAAAGGCTCAGAGAAGGGCAAGAAAGCGAAAACCAAAAAGTAGTACGTGCACGGACGGGACATTTTCAGGGCGATTCAACTGTTTTACTGTCTATTTCGCGATACCTACCTTGTACCGTATCTCTTTCACTGTATCACTACTCAGACTTCAGGAAACCCTCAGTATCGCAAGGATCGAGAATGCGCGATGCCTAGGGAATTTCGAAGATACTCAACATTGTGGGTTTCTGTAAGGCTATTTTTTTATGTTCATCTTTCCCAACGCCTTACCGCTCCTCACTCTCCCTTTGCGCTTGCTCCTGGTGTCACTTCCCTTCCTCTCTCCCGGCCGCTTCCTCACCCTTTCTCTGTCCGTCCTCGGCTTCACTCCCTTCTCCGCAAGTAGCTTGGCTTTCTTCTTCGCTAGGCGCCTTGCTACCCGATCAGCATCGGCAGCTTTCGCCTTCTTTCGCTCCTCCTTGGGTAGATGAGAGATCTTCCTTCCGAGCTCTGAGTCGCCTTTAGGCAAAGGCGCGCCATGGGTCGGGCCTCCGGATGACATCTGAGGCCGATTATAGGCTGAAGATTTTGCAGCGGTGGCGGCAGGAGGTCTCGATTTTTTGGACGTCACTTTCACACCTCCAGGAGCGGATTTGCAGCGCTGTACTCGCAGTTTGCGTTTGGCAAACTTGAGTCGGTCCTGTTCCAATGCTAGTATCTCGTCGACACACTCCTGATCCTATGGGAAAACACAAGATGAGGACAAATAACCGAAAGGATGCATGAAGTAGACGAGGCATACTACAAACTGCACATACGCAAATCCCTTGCCGAGTTGCGTATCCTTGTCTCTAACGATGCGCACTCGCTTGACCCACGTCTGTTGCCTATTGCGTTGATCGTCTTTGGAAGTATGTATCACCCTCTCATCTTCATCGTCGTCCAAGTCTTCATCTTCACTTTCAGCTTCCGCGACCGCGGTAGGCGATCCCCGCTCTGCAATTACTAAGCCTTCAAAAAACACCCTCAAATCCTCCTCTTTGCTGCCAAAGTCTAGATTGCCCACAAATACCGTTGCCTTCGGGTCGCCGATTAGCGATCCTTCCGTATTGTGGCTGTCTTCTTCGTGACCTTTTCCGACTCGATCCACTCGAATTGTTCGGTCCATGAATACAGTTCTATCACATCGCTCCGCCGCCAAACTCGCCGCTTCGTATGGGTCCATAATGGGTCGTGGGGGAGGCACATTGGCAGCACGCGCACTAGGAGCTGGAGGCGCATGTGCAAAGACGACGTACGCGTTCACAGCATCAACACCTGAATGAATCTCGTGTTTAATGAAAGCGACGCGCTTCTTCTCTTTCGGTGTGAGGAACGACTTGACAGACCCAGGTTCTTCTTCGTCCCCAGCCTTTCTACTCCGCCAAGAAGCCGCACGTTCGCGATCATGCTGTCTCCCCTCTTTCCCACCATGCGCACTATGTGGGTTTGGAACTAGCTTTTTGGATGATACACTGTCCAAAGTGGGGAGTTTTGATGTGGGGTTCTGGAATGCGACCGAGCGGAATCGTACTGATTCGATTTGCGCATCGGGAACCTGAGACAGTATATGCCTTTTGAATTGCTTCTGAAACGGCTACAGCAGTGCATGAGAAATCAAACTTGATAATAACAATAGTTACCAGCATACCCTGGACTTTGTAATCTCCACAGGAACATTCCCAACAAATATTGTTCTGGCATCTCTCTGTTCAGAGCTTTCATTCTCGGGTATATACTTCGCTTTCACGCCATGAACTCCCTTGACTTTCTTGATAAGTGACTCGTGAACTAGCTGGGACATGTCACCTTCATCGTCTGAGTTGCTGGGGTAACTCCCCGAACCATTAGCTAGAGCTGCAATGTGAGGTGTCGGTACTTCGGCATCATGATGTGTGGAGGCTGATGATCTACTTTCCCTTTCACTCGCACGCTCTGAGTCAAGATTGGACAAATCTTCTGTGAGTTTGACTACCGGGTTCGTCGTGTTCGAAGACAGTTCTTGAATATTAGCAGCGTCACTGCCTGCAGCCGTAATACGACCAAAACAATATCGCACCTGGTTCCTCGTCCTTTCCTGTCCTATGTCTTTTCGGTTTCACATCCGTATTGTTCGAAGGCATTTTACGCTTTCCACTGCTCGCACCGTGTTCGGATGCAGATGTTGCACGTGTAGACATTGGTGAACCGGTCTGTTAGAGCAACAGCTACAGTCATATTGTGTAAGTAGCTTGAAGGACATCTTACCGTCGAATTGAAAATCGCATCTAACCCCTTGTCTATCACGATCCTCTTCTCCGCCCCAAGTAGAAAAGACGAGAGGGTCATTTCCGTGCTGTAGAAAACACGTACAGTCTGAAAATATGTAGAATATACCAAGAGACCCTGTAGGATAAGCAGGTCGCCAAGTAAACGTTAGTGCCTAGGGCCCGGGCGCACTAAATGTGCAGAGAAGTGGCGCAAACCACCGCGCGCGATCCTCATATGGCCATAATCGACCAAAGTCACCATCTGTGTTGCATAGGACTACTATCACTGCACCAGTAATGCAATCGCAACAGTAGTGCAATTACTGAACTTACGGCTGCTCCTCCCCCTCTAAAATTGAGCTTAAAATTTTTTTTTCGCAAATCGCCCGCCGAGTCGATTTGGAGGCTGACGGAACTCAGGGGGTCGACAAAAAAGAGTGATATACCTGGCGGGTAGAGGAAATAGGAGTGCGTACTCTCCTTCTTGCACCTCAAGGATCCCGCCAGGTATGTTCTTTAATTCGAGCTCAGAGAGAGCACTCTCTTTCGTGGCTAACAAATGGATCGCTCCAGATCCCTTTTTCGCATACCCACCATCCCTCTCTATCCATATAGCGTTTTGTCCTGTATTGTCCGCGGTCTTTCGAACCGAAAAAAAAAAGTATTTTTAGGGCATTTCCAGTGGGCCAAAAGCCACCAGGACACTGCGTCGCGCCAAAAGATGTCTTTGAGAGTCCTCGCTTGGACAACAGTCCGAACCGCTGCCAATTAGATACCAATAAATCATGCATGATACAAAATACAAGTATGATCACTACTGTGTAAGTTTCGTACGAATGAAAAATACGAGAGCGACTTGAATGCTTCATAAGTGTGTTTTGAGGACTACACCTCAATCAAGAGTGGCCTTGGGTAGGAGATCACCATATCCAATTGACACAATAACCACCATGGCCATGTGAAGAACATACACACTCTTCTTCTAATTTCTCCGGAATAATCTGCATAGCGAACCCCTCCTGAATCCTGTGTCGAACGATAGCGACTCAAATGTGTGACATTCAGCCACAATCAGCGTCGTGAATCTTGACTCAGCTGACGGTAGTAGTGGCGTACTTCGCATAGCTTCGCAGGCTCCTGCCCATCCGATCTCCGGGAGGAGAGGGACTTCATCCCACC